ACACACGTGAACCATAGTTACACCAGTGAAAACACCTGTAATAGGGGCAGTAAAATTAAGATTTCTAAACAAGCAATTCCTAATTGTACACAACACTAAGGCTCTAAAATTGATTTTTCTCATAAACCAACACTGGATGAGAATAAAGAAACACCAAATAACACTGTGCATTTACCGCAGTTCCTTGGAATTATAAGTCTTTATAGTAAGTGATTTCTGTTTATGGGCATTCCCCCAAAAAATTGCATTATTTTTTTGTGTAACAAACTGCACTTCAGGGAGTTGTTTGCAAATAAATATCACACAAAACATGCCGCCTATGGCAAGATTTTATTTCTTCGATTTTAATGGACTGGTGGCAAAATTCTTTTACGACATTCATTAGATCCATGAAGAGCCTGTATTTAGTGGTTACGTTTCTTTTTGCATCCCAGGCCGCCAGATACTGTATACAGGTATACTACAGACAGAATATGACACTAGTTTATCCAGTTATCCAAGGCTTCAGCATTGTGTACTGTAGATCTGTTTTAGTTAAAGCAGGGCAGTATGGAATTGGCCTGTCCCTTTCTTCAACTAAAACAATGCCCATCACCACGCACTACACAAGCTCTGTTTTCAACAGGCAGCATGGCAGCTGCTTGGCTGCAGCCCTGGGTAGGACCCAGCTGCTAAGGCAATGTTTCTGCCGTGGCATATGATCCTGTCAACATAACAGTCTCATACCAAAACATTCACAGCAACTGTCGAGGAGCAATGACTGAGACAGTGGAAAACAGGCCCTTTGCCGAACAGTTAACTAATGTTTACTTCACCATATTTGCCCTTTTCTGTTTCAAACTTTTTGTAAAAATAACCCTGAATATACTTACGCACTTCTACATTGTGAAAGGGAATCGTAAGGAAGCAGCCCGGATTGCTGCCGAATTTTACGGATTTGCAGAAGGACAAAGTAAGTGAACTCCACTGACACTTTCATTTGAGTTACGGATTTATTTGTGAGCAACAGGGGAGGTGCCAAGGTAAAAACTTAAGGGTGAGCTAGGGGGATAGTGGGCAGGCTTGCATCTCGTTGCTAAAGCTGGTGCCAGGTCGGCTTATCAATATTCTGCACATTCTTTCACAAGGTCTGCACATTCTTTATTTCCTCAAATTATTCTGTACAAAAGACATGTTGAGAATCTGACCAAAACTGACAACTAACCGTATTCTAAATAGGTATGCTTTTTGCTCTATACTGTATGTATACAGAATTAGAGGAAAATGCCAAATAAATACCCAGAGACAGTCGTTTTTTGGACAAACAGTATGATTTACTGTATATGTTTAAATAAACAGCGTGGTTTATATGGTTTGCACTTGATAGGTGGAATGGGTTCATGCACTAACTTCTGCAACAGGTAGCAGGGGCAACGCTCTTTCTTAAGGGAAATATACAGTAGCATTTGTTTAACCTTAGACAACACCCCTGTAGAAAGCAGAGCTATAGACTAGCAGAGCTGAAAACACCTTGGTATACATTATACCCAGGCTGGCACAGGAACCTTGAGCACAGGAAAGTACATCTGTTTCTGATCCTTGCTTGTGTCTTCTCTAGCATAATTGCTGGAGAGATGAAAGAAAATAGTTGGACCAATTTTTTTAATGTATTTGATATGATTGCCAGGGATGCCAAGAAAGGAGTACATACTGTACAGTTGATTGAAGTGCAGTTCAAGATTGAGATTTCTTATGATATTTTTGAGTTGTTGGCATGTGTATCTTCCTTGATGGCACACCCTCTGGGAAAATGGAAGCAAAATATTTTTTTTAAACTGGAATACAGCCTCACTTCTCCTGAAATCCCTACCCCACTGAGCCTGGTCTCGCTTTCCTGTAGCGAGATAGACCATTATGAGTGTGCTGACCTTGCCCTGAGGTAAGAAGCAAGGTCAGTGCTCTCACAACAATCTAGACCCTACAACTTAATGTCTTCATTCTTACACCTAGGCACAATCGTACAGACATGAATATCTCTGAAGCACTATTTTATTTCCTTTAAAATGAGTTGAAAATTTATGAAGTTCAAGGCTGCCATCAAGAAAAAAAAAAGCTATCACACATACACATAGTAGCTATCGTGTAAACATGTGAAAAACATCATATTACTGTAATACATATTTTGTTTTCTTTGTGGCAGCAACATACTGTAGAAAACATTTAATAAGAAATTAAATAAAACCATGTTCCACTAGTGCCAGAATGCATCCCACACACAAGTTACTTCTATATTTCAGTAGATATTTAAAAATAAGTGACTATAGGACAGGAAACTACAAAGTACTGTACAGTATATTGCTGAATTGTTTACTGGTGTAGTTTTCTTGACCTACTATAGAAAGCTAAGCAATATATGGTAAAAGACATCACATTCTTAAAGTGCAATCTGTCTTTGACCACATGTTTTGAGAAACTTTATAAGAGGATTTCAAGTAAACAATTTTGTCTGAAGAACTGGTGAGTGATGGTGGTGTCAGAAAATATGAGCGTAGTGTTTTTTTTCTGTCAATATTTGAAAACGCTGACATTTTACTGACAAGCTATTTGGATGTTATCTGTAACTATTTACAAGGTAAGAACTGTATGTGAGATGTTCTATAAATAGAGCTTATATACTCTATCTTGTCGGTACTGTACTGGATGTGTGAGGTTCATTGTTCTGTTTGCGTGAGGACGGTGTACAAAACTTCATTTCTTAGGGAAAATTGATATTTCAAGATTACATTACTAACATGCTAACATCTGGTAGTACAGTCCAGTTGTAAATGTGAATTGTGTTGCTGTTCAGGAAATCAAATCAAATCAAATTCTGCATATGGTCCTATGTTTAGCCAGTAAGAAGTTTATTTGATGCTTCTGTTGCTTGGCTTTTGTAAAATCAGTAGAAGTGTATTCAAGTGGTATTTTATAGAATAAATAATGATATTTTATGAAATTATTTATGTTTTCAATGTATTCTTATGTACTGTAGTATACCCAATTGATGTTTGTTATATTTGTTTCTTAAATTACAGTAGTTATTATATTAGAGATTATATTAATGTTATATTTCAAAATATGCAAATAAATATTTTTTTCTTTTAGATGTACTGTATCTTAACTATTTGTAAATATTGTAAAAAATAATTACAACATAACACAATGTTACAATTTTTTAAAAAGAATATCAAGATTAAAAATGGAAAATTTGTCATAATATTTGTCATAATATTTGTTGACAATAGCACCAATAGAAAACTGTTTAATTAAAGAGCACTTATTTATAAGATAGACTGTATAGATAGTTGTCCAGTTGTGTCTCATATGAGTCAGCTAATGCATTCATACTGTAAATGCTATTGAACATTAAAGACTGCTTGGTAAAGATTGCTTTAATCTTTTAAAAGTTTCTTTTTCCTAAATACTTCTTTTCACTTTATTTGCGAATGTGGATGAGGGAAAGTATGCTGTTTAAAAGACCTTCGTGATCACTTGATCTTTAAAAGGACGCTTCAGAATTACTGCCCACTTGATTTGTTAAGACGAATTGACTTTTTGTTCCCTACTTTGGAAGTAGTGAAAAGCACATTTCTCTTGCAGTTAGTTGTATGAGAAATTTTTCATGTGCCTTAAATTACTCTGTATATACTGTAAGGTGCTAGTTTTGACCACCATTTAAATGGTTAATACCAACAGAGGAGTTAAGCTGATTCTTGACCTGCTTTATAAATAGAATGTGGCAATGCAATCCTTCCCATCATGCCTCAGCTGCAGTTCTCCTTTGCAGTGACTGTTCATGTTATTGAACGCAGCTCGGTGCTGTTGTCAATATAAGCCTACAACACACTGTGACAACAATAAGGCAGCCAATCAGGAAGCTTCCAGGCCCGATCCGATGCTGTCAGGAGCTAGCAGGAAGGAAAAGCTGACACAAACATGCCCAAGGTTCCATCTATAGAGAGCAACTACACTGAGAAGACTTCAAAGAAGAGGTGTCTAGCCACTACAGAGGATTTTCCTTACAAAAAGAAATCAAACTGGGGTATTCTCACTAGCCAAGGTCAGTGTTTTTTTTGTGTCTGATCCTGTTAGATTTACATCCATGATGCTTATTTTGAACACATACTGTATTACTCTGGGGGGTACCTCAGCATATCTTCTAAAAATATCCACATACTCTAGAAATATGAACTGATGTGATTTTTCTTTTAGTTCTGTCTTCGCCAGGCTTTAAAGGAGCTACAGTAGTTAAATACTTTTAATGTGTTAAATATATAAATACTTTTATAATAATGACTGATTTTTGTGTTTTTTAAAAAAAACATAATGCATTTCTAGATATCTAATTGTTGATATGCAATAAGTAGATAATTGTATTTATTGATAAACGGGTTGTGTTGATGATTAACGGTTTGAACGTGTCATGAAAGGGTTCATCATGTAGAGCAGTGCACTAGTGCACTGCAAATACTGTACAATTCCTCTGTAAAGTGCACGGCTACTTGCTTGAACTGGTTTGTGGATTTATAGGATAGATACTGCTGCCAGACTGATGCTCTATTGTATTATTTCACAGCTTTATAGGAAGTTGCAGGCAGCATTTGGGACCTACAGTATGTGTTTGATTCAAAGTAGGTCACAGCAGTTTGCACACTGCATTTATCTTTGGAAAATGAGCAATGTAATTGTAAAAGTTTAATATTCTCATTCTGAAGTCCAGTGCAATCTCCTTATGTATGTGTATTCACATAGATTGTGTGCATCACTGCAAATTTAAAGTTAAAAATCAGAAATTGAAATAGACCCTGAAAGACGTCCCCCTTCCGGCTTGATCCTTCATTTCCCATGGACAGCTGCAAAGCAGAAATAACAAAAAAGAAAAAGTGTTGCAGCAGAAGCACTGAAAATTACCAAAATATGATGAGCTGCTGCAGAGCTGTTTGCTAGTTTCCTCAGTGCGGTGCTACTAAAACCCTTCAGACACTATTTATGTGCAGTCATATGACATGTCATTTGATCCAGTGGACATAAGGTATAGTGAACTGTTAGCAGGTCGAGTACTGACACAAACAAATCTGTGCTGCAGAAATTAAACACGAAAAGACCCGTAACAATCTCAACCATAGCCCTGCTTTGCAGATAAGCACTTGAAAACAAAGTAATCCTCATGTACTGTATGTGGTCATGCAATCTTCTGTGTTTTGGCCTGTGATTATTTTTCAGATTCTAATGCAAAACCAAGTGAGTCTTTCAGTGTACCTAGTGTATGCCAGTTGACATGTATAACATCTTCTGTTTCCATACTGTAGTAAACACCCTGGTACTAGGTGTGCTAGGAAAGCAAAAAATGTAAATGGTAACTATGAATTATTACAGAATTATGATGGCTAAATCTAGACCTCAGGCTTAAACAGCACTTTGTTGTACAGTAGCTCTTTCTGTATTTCCACTGAGAATTAATGTTGCCTTTTCTTTCTCAGTCTTAAACTTTCCTATCATGTACAGTACCTCCTAAATTCATTTAAGACTATCAATGTAATATTTAATAACTGTATTTACAAGTCAGGATCCACTAATTATTTAATCTGATTAAATTTGTTTAACAGACAATATAGAGTTAGATAAAATCTTCCGTAAAAGTTAAGAAAAAAGTAAAAAGTAGATAAACTAAATATCTTGCGTATTTACTTTTGTGAAGATTAATACATTTTCCTTATCGATAGTATATACCCAATATTCCTATTTTTTTCAGCAAAAAATAAGCAGGTTCTCTCATAATTTTGACCTCCTGTGTGTACTTACTGTAGGATTCTAACTTTGTTGGTGCTGGGCGACAAGAAAAAACAAAAAAATAAAAAGAAAGCCAGACTTTCATGAACCAATACAAATAATGTCAAGAAATATAAAGTCACAAATATCACAAATGTATACAAGATATCACACACCTTAGAGAAAACATTACAGATATAGAACAATATTTATTTATTTTTATTGGTGGAAACCTTATGCTAAATGAGTTGTGTTCATAAAGTATCTGAAATGCAGCAAACGAGAGTATTATACAAAAACAAGGTCCCTTAAGATTGTTTTTTTTCACCAAGTAAAATTTTACAGTGAGTAGAGAATCTGTTACACAGATGACTGCTTTGTCAAGCATTTAGCTACAGTATATGGCCATCTTAAGAATGACAGAAATAAATTCTGAATTCGCAGGGCATGACTTATATATTTGGTCGGTACGACTGGCTTGATGTGCCGTGGGGAGATGGAGATCTTGGTAGGTAGTGCTTTGTTTTAAATGTAGATATTTGATCATTGATTATTGACAGGGTGTGTCCTTAGCTCTTTTCAGATTATGCGGGTAACATAACTCCTAATTCGGGGTCCCGGAGCTTCACTGATTGACCGATTTCCCAGATGGCTCTCCAAGTAGTCTTTTATTTATTGTCAGTGCAAACTACATACAAACCCTAATATTGTTAATTACTTTAATAACATTAATAACACACCACTGTGCAAATGCATGTCAAACAGAAAAAGGCACCAATCTCTACATACTGTATTCAACATGTCACTCTAAATATTGTATACATAGTGCTACTTACTCTGAATACCTCTTTTAGTCTGTTCATGAAGAAAAAATGCAAAGCAGCATAAGGCTGTGATCACAGTTTTTATTTACAAATTTTAGAATATATTGCAGTGCATGTGTGGTTATTCTGCTTTTTGTGTTTTTCAGTGTACTACAGTACCTTTATTTAGTTGTTTTAGATGCTGAAACTCTTCCATAACTACAGTATGGTGACTTTAATTTTCACTAAGTACCAGAGGTGGTCTCTGATTTTTATTTAAAGCACTAATAATATTTGTTCAATGTACAATAAATAAGTCCAAATAAGAACTATTTTTCTCTAATGTGTTCTATATACAGTACTTTCACTTTGTATAACAGAATATTTTTCACTGATATGTTCAATAGATTTTTACTTTATATCCCAGAAAGTATTATTGTTTTACATCCCACCCCAAAGTCTATGCAATTTATGATTCTTTGAGCACCTCAGTGAGACAATAAGAAGACACTGTCAAAATAAGAAACATCAAGATCAGATTTTAGTATTTCAGACTGGCTTATGACAGAGCTTTTTGTAAATTAGTGCACCCACTAACTTTTATGACTAAAAAGGTTATGAAAAATGTACTTTTATAAAGCAAATGCTTATTTTAGTATGAGTTAAAAGGAAGGAAAAGAAGAAAAGGGTCATAGCATTGTCTCTGTCTTTGAAAAAGTCACATACAGTAGCTTCTTTAGCTCATTCATATATTGTTAGTCTTGTAGATGAATGAAGGGGATGATGATTGTGTCTGGAATGCTGCAGGGGTTGTTCTGGATATTGACTCAGGTTTGTAAACTGTGCTTGAAAGCTGTACATTGGTATGGAGACGTACATGACAGCCCACATTGTGCACACACATACTGTATGACATTTAAAACGAAAAAAGACTTACTAATCTTTGGAATGCACTGTCAATAATAACCACACCACTGAAAGAGGATATTGGTAGTTAATTGCAAATAGGATGTATGATACAGTACATTCATTTACAGTGCCGAAAATTAAGAATCGAGATTGAGAATAATCTGTTATTGCTGTGTTTAATTCATGACCTTCTGCTATCAAGGAAACATGTTGGTAGTGAATCAATATTAAGCTACAGTATGACAATAATGATTGCACAGAGATGGCACACTCTAATCAGTCGTGGTGACTCTCATACAGTAACTGTTTGTGTAGATGATTTCCGGTGGTCTATGGCTGAAAAAGAAAAATCTTCAGGGAATACTGATTATTATTTTTTCCTGCACCATGACATGCACCGCAGCCGGTGAAAAGAACTTGAGTGCTGTGAGCTGTTGTTTTTCACAGGCTCCTGGGCAGACCGGTCACCCCTTCATGAGGCAGCTAGCCAGGGACGACTCCTGGCTCTGAAGACTCTGCTCTCTCAGGTGTGGGCAATGAAGGGCATGGCTTGCTGTCGCCACCAGCTTCGCCGCACTTACTGCACCTGTCCCAGATCATTGATTCTCCAAACCAGAGTTTCTTAATGCCTTGTAATGGCAGACAGAAAGCTAGACAGACCCACCAGATACTGTAGACCTACAGAAAGACAGACCAACAGATACAGGTTGCATGTTAATAACGCATGCTTACACTTATATTGCACTTTTCTAGACACTCCACTCAAAGCGATTTACAGGTGATGGGGACTGTGCAGCCCCACCTGGATGATGTGACAGCAGCCACAGGGCGCCAGTATGCTCCCCACACACCAGCTATCAGTGGGGAGGAAAACAGAGTGATGAAGCCAATACATAGATGGGGATTACTGGGAGGCCATGATTAGTAAGGGCCAATGGGAAATTTAGCCAGGAGACTGGGGTTACACCCCTACTCTTTTCAAGAAATGCCATGGGATTTTTAATGACCACGGAGAGTCAGGACCTCGGTTTTATGTCTCATCCGAAGGACGGCGCCTGTTTACAGTATATTGTCCCCATCACTATACTGGGGCATTAGGATCCACATAACACCTTCCAGCAGCAACCTTAGTTTTTCCCAGGAGGTCTCCCAACCAGGTACTGACCAGGCTCACACCTGCTGAGCTTCAGTGGGTTGCCAGTTGTGAGTTGCAGGGTGATATGGCTGATGGCTAATAATACAGTACTGTATATTGGCTGCAAACACTGATTTTAAGAATACAAAACCCACACAAATTAAGACTGTGCACTACTATATTTTTTAGAATCTGAATGATTTAAACATGGTCAACGTTTTTGACTGCAGGGCTACAGTGTTAACACCCTCACGATTGACCACGTCTCCCCACTACATGAAGCTTGCCTAGGAGACCACGTAGTCTGCGCCCGAGCACTCATTGAAGCCGGTGCAAACGTAAGTATAGAGGTTTCTCAGTACACTACAATAGTAAGACGATGAGAGTCTGAAAACATATACAGTACATTACAAACTGTAATATAAATGTGAAAAAACCTTCACGTTTTTTTGAAGTGTGAAATAGCATTGAAACTAAAATGGATCCCCTCACGAAAATCTAATGCACACTGACCCGCAGGTGAACGCTACTACAATCGATGGAATAACTCCTCTGTTTAACGCGTGTTCGCGGGGGAGCGCAGCTTGCGCGGAAGTGCTGTTAGAGCACGGAGCCTCCCCTCAGGCAGCCTCCGGTCAGCCTTCGCCCATTCATGAAGCCTCCAGAAAAGGTAAGTGTTGCTGAACCCAGATACAGTACTGTACATCTAGAAACCGGTGAGCCGTTTCGAGCTGAGCAGCGGGATACAGCCTGTCATCTCCCGTGCTTCCCTCTAGTTTACACTTGAACAGTAAAGTACAGAAAAGACACAAAGGAGAACATCTTAGAACACGGCTGATGCAGACAATGTGTGAAATTAATGAGAGGAATGATAATCATGAAAAATGTCTGCCTATGGGGAACAAATCAACACTGTCTGACAATTTCTAACGCATGTACTGTATACTGTACCTGCTTTTCACAATCAGGTAGGAGCAACTGTGTGGAGGCCTTGATATCCTGGGGTGCAGATGTTGACCATGACATTCCTCACTTGGGGACCCCCCTCTACGTCGCCTGTTCCTCCCAGCAGCTACAGTGCACCAGGAAGCTGCTTGATGAAGGTGAGATGATTCAGAAAAGCCATCACTTCTTTTAAATCACAGTATATGTAGTGGTAAAGAAAAGTAATTCTGTCAATGCTTATTAGTAATTAGCAAATGCAATACGCAAGAGCATAGCACTCTGTATTAATAACACACACTCACTCCGCAGTCTGTCTGGTAAAAGGATGACACAATTGCTTGCTATCATACTTAGATTCATAGTCTATATAATATCTAGGAATTAGGAGGCACATTTTTATTTAAAGTACAGATATTGGTGAATCCAGGGAATACCCCGGTAAGGAATAGGCACCTGGCCAGTTTCTCCGTATATAGTAACCCTAATAGGATTCCTACTGTAATTTTGGAACTGTGTTGTATACTATCACATTTATGAGAAGTTTGTCTTCACAAACCTAAAAGTTGATTACAGTTACATTTAATATAAGCACTGTAAACACGTACGTCCGAAACGACAGATTTCCTTTTTCTCTTGCTTTTCCGCAGGAGCAAATGTGCAAAGGGGTAAATTCCTTGACACTCCGCTACACGCGGCTGCCCAGAAAAACAGCGCGGAGATTGTCAAGCTGTTACTCGACTTCGGAGCCAACATCAACGCCAGAAACGTGGAGCTGAAGCGGCCGGTGGAGACTGCGGCCCCCAGCAGCCTGGCGGAGCAGCTCCTGCTGCTGCAGGAAGGTGAGGGCAGTCTCATTCCCGCTGCCGCACGGGGCAGCCTTCCTGACTGGGACGAGCGCGTCCCGCCCTCGTTCCACCCAGACGCGTCGTTAGGGAAAATTGTGCGGACCTACTGAAACATTACACACTTAGCAGTGCTTGAAGGTAATGTTATTGCTGAAACCTTGCTCTGTTTTTTTGGAAGGAAATCAGGGGCCATGCATTATTATAAGGTTGGCTAGCTTTAAGACTAATGATCTATTTGTATCGAACTGTTGGTAATACAGTATATCGATATGTAGTCATTGTGGCCCAGTGGTGCAGTGGTCAGCATGGCTGTCTTGCAGCACTGGGGCCCTGGGTTCAAATCTTGGGGAGCTATCTGCATAGAGTATGTTCTCCTTGTGTTTGCGTGGGTTTCCTCTGGGTGCTCTGGTGCTCCAAAGACATGCTGGTGTCCCACCCAGAGTGTAGCCCAGTTTCCACCTGTTGCTTGCTGGGATAGGCTCTGGCTCACCCATGACCCTGAATTGAAAGAAGGGGTTAGAGAATGGATGGATACTGTACTGTATGTAGCTATTTCCCTTTGAACACAACGTCTATATCTGTTGATAAAATGCACATCGTCCTGCCTCCATTCTGATTTTACTGCAAACGTAATTATTTCTCTGCATTGTTCCCTTGCAGCCACACCTTGCTCCCTGTATCAGCTCTGTCGTCTGAGTATCAGAAAATTCATGGGAAGATCCCGGCTGCATCTCATTCCACAACTTCCGCTGCCAACAATACTGCAGAAGTTCTTAAAGTACCGATGAATCACCTCTGGAAAAAAAAATGCTACACTCTCATTCTAATCTAGAAGACTTACCTCTAGTGCACAGAGAAATGTTATTGTAGAATTTTACAACCTTACACAGATAAACATTTTAATGTGTGCATGTACAGTATAGAGCTAGAATTATTTTACAGAAGCAGAGATACCAGAATATCTGTTGTACAAAATGTAGAAGCTGACAGTCTGTAATACCCCTTACTCTCCTCAAACTGACATTTCTATTTTGCCTCTTTTCACACACACCACTTCACACAAACACACCACCAAACACAATTCAGTTTCTTCAGTTTTTATTTCAGTTGTTAGTAGGTTAGTACCTTTTCAGCAAGCATCTATCGCTGTCCACTCATGAGGAATAACTCTCAGTCAGTGTTTGTAAACTAACTCTGTCTTTTGAATGCCTTACCATGCTCTTTCTACCAGAATGAGCAATATATCTTAAGAGACATAATGCACGGGGAAACAGAGTAATTCTGCAGAATAATACAGCTGGTAAGCATATTTTAAAAAGTTTAAGATGACCTGGCATACAGTATAAAGTTTTTTTTTCTTCAGTTTTACACTTGGTGGCATATTCTTAATTCTGGGACTTTTTTGCAAAGTGAACTTCTAAAACTAAATGCTGTATATCATCATACTTTCATTGTCCAGAATGCCTTACTTTCTGATTATATCAAACTAACTGTTGGCTTATACTGTATGTAAAAGAGTGTCTATAATATATTAATACATAAAGACTTTTTTCAGAAGATGAATATGCTTTGCTTCCAGCATGAGCTTTTAGCAATTAAGACAGAAGAGCCCAATAAACTTGATCATTACTTTACTTTTAAACACTGATAGTTTTATATTTCTATTATTTCGTAATAAATATTTTTTTATTTTGTATTGTATTAATATTTAAGTTAAGGTGTTGCTTCATTATATTTTGTAAACATTAGATATGCCAGAGTCATACAAAATTGAAATGCAGAATGAAATTCAAAAAAAGAAATACATTTTTCTACATTTGTTTTGTTAGATGCATTTAATTTAATTGCAGAGGCTGTCTGAAGTCCTGACAAGCCACATAGCTCATGCAGGAACACAATATACAGTACAGTCCTGCACTTTCAGATTTTACTGTACGTTCATTCAGGTTTAAAGAATACAGCTACTAAAGCCCCCCTAATGGAGCATCGTAACTTTGTAGTCTCTATGCCTGAAAAGATTGATCATGATGTACAATGATCAATGGAGTACATTAGTTTGTACATTTTTTCCAACTTATGTCTAAATAGACATCTAAATGTGTACAAATAATTGGTACAATTGACTGAAGCAACAAAGAATTGAGATTAGCAAGCATCAGCTTTAGACTCTGTCATATTTTTGTTTCCATGCATGATTACTATATTCAAAACTGTTCAGTCAGTCAGACCTACAGGCCCTGTACTCTCTGGCTTGTCATTGTTGTGTCTTGCTAAGATCAGAGATGGAGGCAACATTTCAATGTAGAACAGTCCTCCTTAATTTTGGCGTTTTTTCTTTGAAATCAGAAATAATGACACTTAATGAATTAATAAATGAATTTGAATATAAAGTATTAAGTGACTCATTTGTGATAAAAATACAACAGCACAACAGAGAGATTTAAGGATTACACCAGAAGAAAGCAAGGGGAATACATTATTTTACAATTTAACTGATAGACAATCAAATGATGTTAACATTTCTGTGATTTTCAGTTCTAATGATGTACTAACAGTTTTTCACTAAATGTATGCATTTTTTTTTCTTTTTTTAAATAAAGAGCCTACCATTAAACCTCTTTTCCTGTCCTCTTTCATATGTTTTTGTTTTTCTAACTTATTATGTGTTCTCTAACTGAAAGTGCGACAGGGCAACATCACCTAAAATGCACTATCCTTGCTCTTAATTATTAGCTTGTGTTTGCCATTATGTTTACATTACAAATACAGTACATTTCTGGGTTATCAAGGTGACATGAATTTGTGACCCAGAAACACTGTGAGGAGTACTGTATATATTTTTCCCTCTTAGGACAAATACATAAAAGAACACAAACTTCCTTCCAGAGAATATTTTCTATTGTATAATACACTAATACACTAGCTACAGTAAATAGATTTCACAGGTAACTGCATACTGTCAACTTTCTTTTTTTTTTTCAAGATATTTCTTTTCAAATATTCTAAATGTCTAGTAGCATTATAGTGTTATGTCAATAACAATCTATACATACACTAATTTACAAAACATTTTGATAATCATTTTCTACAATTCTTTCAAACATGTAAAGGCAGGTAGCAAACATTGTTTGACGGCGAAAGACATTCAGTAAAATCTCAGCTGCATATCGAAAAGGAAGGTACTGTACCTGTGCACTGAAATACCAGAGCAAACAGATGAAGTACACTAGATGCAGATAACAGGAAGGTACAGTATATTTCAGCTATCAGATGGGGCACGCTGTAGCCTTTGTGAACAACTAGAAAATTCAGAAAAACTGGAGAAGCAGCACAGAAAGCCAAGCTTGGGTGCATAATGAAGCCAAAACGTTTAAAGTAAAATTGAGGAAGATAATATACATTTTTTACATAATGCACTTGTGCCGTTGTATAACAGTATGGTTTATTACAGTACTACTCTAGAGCGTGACAGCTACAGGTCACTTTTTCACACTGTTTACATAGCTGGGATCTTAATCAATTCAGAGGGATCTATTTGCCCATATTAGAAAACGTACAGTACAGTAAAAAAACAATCAACCACACCTACAGTAGAAGTTAGGTGATGCCAATTGAACAACGTTTTAGTTCATGTACTACGCCTTTCTGACCAGATCGTCATGTTCACGTCACAATCAGAATACCGAAACAAGGGCAGTCCTGCAAAATGAAGGTGTTGTCATGGATACATAAACAATGGAACGCAGGCACGCGTTGAATGCATGACCCGTGTGTGCTGTGCAAACTCAGTAGGCTTACTGAAACTATTTTCTAAGCATCGAAATTTAAAAAAAAAATACATATATTATTGACCTGAATCCAGCTTTCGTTTTTGTTTCCCTTTCTGTTTTCATTAACTGCAAGTGCATTCCGATACACATAACCTGCTTCCTTTGTGTTTGTTATGGCTTACGTACAGCCGCCGAAAAAGGCAGGATTGCCGAGAGACGTGTTGAAATGGTTGCAAAGTCTCGATCTGTCTTTCTCCCACAGGAATGTTCGACGGTAAGTCTTATTTGTTTGTTCCCCCCCACTTCTGTATATTTGTGTATCTTGTGTCTGAATCTGTAACCACTCTGAGCATGGGCCGCGGAAGAACCTAAGCGTTTTGAAAATACTGTAGTATTTAGAGTTCTCAAAATACAGTACTCAATTTGCGTTCCTCACCTCAGGACCACCTAAACGAATATATTGCGCTATGCTGTATACCATACTGTATATCGAGGAAAATAAGGTGCATGCCTGTATTGATAGAACATAATGTACATTAAAATGCAGAATCGTGGATGGACCGCTAGGTGGAGCCACATTATAACATTCATAGAACTGGGGGAATTTGCTCCATGATAATTCCGGCTCTTCATTTAAATATGATTATTTAACGACTGATCTCGAAACGGACATGCTGTATGTGTCACAGTTCGTACAGAAGGTGTGTACGCTCGGGTTTCTAATTCTACGCTGCGCGTCTTCCTGCAGAGACTTTTCCAATGGTTTCCTGGTGGCTGAAATGTTCTCCTGGTACTACCCGGGGGACTTCACTATGCACTGCTACGACAACGGGACTTCGCTGCCAACCAAGCTGGGGAACTGGTCCCAGATAGAGAGGGTGAGGAAGTGCTCTGGAAATTAAAATATCTAAAAGGAAAACCCCACTCACTCCAATACGACAACACTCCATGCGTAAATAAATAATTCTGTTGACATAACCAAGGGATATTCTGCCTGATCCTTTTGAGCAATTTCCTTCCCCTCATTTATCACCTGACTATTATCATGCCCACTCAAACTGAAATATTTGTATTTTAATCATAGAAATAGATCACAGAGTAACAGTGTGCAGATCGTGTGACGGTAAAAAGCTACACACAGTATGTGACATTCATGTCATTGTGCAGCATGATTTCTATGGAGTATATTTTTCGATACACAAAAGCAGAGCAAGTCTGCAACATTAAGTCCAATATTTGAATCCAATATTGTCAACGTGGTTGTCAAACAAAAGGGGGACAAAAGTGGTGATCAAGGAATCATCATGTGTTTAAATCAATAACATTTAGAATTAGAGTGGACGACCTTGCTGGGCGTTTTACACAATCCTTGCAGTGTTAATGCATAGTCCTGTGGCATGTCCTGACACTCAAGACTGGACTACACTCTGGGTGGGGCTCTAGGTCGTGCGAGGGTGGTACACCCATGTTCATTTTAGAGATGCCAATTACTGTAACGACAGTATGTGTACATTCCACACACAAGGCACACCTCTCTGGAACTGAACCCAGGACTGAGGAACAACACAGACAGCCCCATCACCCCCAACTTGTATTTTTGTTTTAACATCTATATATTCCAGGTATTGATATAGTTTTCTATTTTTACTCAACAAAAGTGTCTTTTAATATTTACATTTTCCTAGATTCACTTTTAATGAGAGTTTCATTACTGAAATGGTGACACATGGGAGGAATTGAGTGTGGCTGGTTCCTACACAATGGTATTTCATAATATGAAAATCACTCACGAAAACCTGATGAACACATTAATAATATTTTTGTTTTGGTGTTTTGTTTTTGTTTTTGGTCTTCAGTTTCTTTTAAAGCGAAACATCAGCCTTCCCAAAGAGCTCATTGATGGGACAATACATTGTAAACCTGGAGCAGCTGAAATCTTGATTCAAGAAATTTACACTATCCTGACAAACAGACAGTGGGTATCAGCAGTTCACACATTTTCACAAGAGTCACTCAAGGTTTCCTAATTCAGTGGAAGTGTATGTAGTTGAAGTCATTTTAAAGACTTTTCTGGGTATTCACAAGTCAGATGGGTAAAATTGCCTTCACTCGTTAGTGGCCTTTGTAAAGTTTTAAAATATTTACAAAAGAGCCCATTTATTGCCATACAAAGTACTGTGCTTCCTCTCTCAATCCCTGTCATCACAATGTTAAAATATTTAAGGATTCTGATAGGTACATTAATTTAAACGTATTGTACTACTCAGAAATTTAAATACAGTGTGTGTTAGTGTCAGATTGCTATAAAATAATGTCCTAATCAAAATATTAAATATTCACTATTCAGTATGTTTCAGTATTAAATTATTTTGATTTATGCAGACTTCAGATATTTAGATCTTGTTCTTCATTGATTAGGCTGTCCAATTTATCTATTGTAAGATTGAATGATTTTTGTATAAATACTGTATGTTCAGTGAATTATCAGGTTATAAACACATACCGTACTGAAACTTGAAACAAAAGTTGTAACAACTTCATTACAAACGAGAAGATGGGGTTCTGTATTATTTTTATTTTAACCACGGCCTCTTTTTTCTTTTAGAATCAGATGTATCCAGGAGGAGCTGGCTGATTTTACCGATCGCAGTTACCAGGAGAAGTTGCCCATGGTAGCTAGATCCACTGCTTCTAAGGCTATCAAGAACAACCTCAGGCTCAGCGAGGTGATAGCAGAGCCGAACGTGGACACTAACAGGCAGAAAGTTCAGGCTATCATCCAGCTGCATCTGCAGCAGAGGCAGGCTGAAAGAACAGAAAATCCAAGTATGTTTTAAAAACATTACCAAGTGATTTTCAGTGGCAGTTAGTATAGCAGGGGTTGAATGTTCTTTTCAGAAAGCTACTGTACAGAACAGTTTAAATTTATTACTTGAATGTTGTTATAAATGGGTTAAACAAACCTCCCTAGTGTTATATATACAGTGCATTCCAAAGGCAAATGGGACAGCTAAGTCAAAGCTGTTATGTTTAATTTACAATCAGGCATTTAGTATTGTACTACTAATTCAATATTATACACATTATGTTTTTATTAAGTCTTGTGATGGTTGGGCGTCCCGCCCAGTGTGTATCTCGCAATGCGCCCATTGCTTGTTGGGATAGGCTTCCCCACTACCATGAATTGGAGGAAGCAGTTAGAAAATAGATGGATGGACATAATTCTAAGTATGGATACATTATTTTCCACATTTAATTATTTTCAATATGGCATTTTTGTGTTTTTCATTTCTTTGTGGTACAAATCCAGAGTAATAGATGTTAAAGATAGATCTGAGGATCTCATTCAATTCAGTTGCTACTTGACAGAAACCAGGTAAATAGTTTCAATAGCATAGCTGGGTAACTTGTTCCATGCTTCCAACCTCTTGGTGTAAAGACGTTCGTAGTAGTCTGCTGTTCGTAGTTTTAAATGCACTGGTTATGTGGTTTTTCATTTGTGTCCTCTAGTTGTGTTGCAGTAAAGTTCCGGTAAAGACGAACATGGTAGAAAAAGAAGTACTGTAGCAAAATACCTTTATCTTTTTCTTGTCTTCCTGAAAGAGCGCTTTAATGTGAAACCAACACTGGGGGATCTGGCTGTTCGGCTACCACCATCATTGCCGCAGTGGCAAGATGTGAATGAGGAAACCCAGCCCCGAAATAGCAAAACCAAGACAGAGGCTCCAAGTAAGTTTGGGCAGTTTCGTTTCCTCTTTCTCAACATCTGTTGTTGAGTGAAAAATGCAAGTGTCTGTCTCTCAACATATTTCTAACCTGTCCTTATTTTCTATTATCATTATACTGGAATAAGAATTCGCTGTAAATGTGTTAGTCAACATATTTTGCACCATACAGTACACATTTTTCAAAAGTTACATAAAAATATGACTTCTCAAAACACTAGAAGAACTTGTATCCAGTTCTGTGCTGGAGGCAGATCCTTAAACATGCACTTTATGTATGCTAAGTAAATAATGTAAACCATAGTTGGTTGCGTGAAAGTTGTTTTACTGCTCTGTCATTAAATAGATTTTGTGGTGAGGATTTTGGTTTTAATTTCTAGATTTTACAGTTGTTTTTCTTGCAAATAATGTGCTACTTCTTTTCCATTTAGAGTCATGCCTTTCTGCAATCAGAAGTAAAGCAAATGTTCAGTTCAAGGAGATTGATGTGAAGCAGACTGATAAGAAATCTTTGCTCTCCAGTGTTGGCTCACCATCTCAAATTACGGGGTACTGAAGGATTCATGAACAACATCTGGACAATAATACTTCTCAGTCAAATAAAATACTGCATTATGCTTTGGACATTAATTTTCCATTAAACATTTCATGGTAGATTTGATTATTACACTTTGAAATATACTTTAGAAAAATGATTATAGTTATAGAAGAAGTTATATTCATAACTTATTATTTACAAAATAGTAGAACATTTCTCCTTAACTAAAATGTAGTTTTTATTAGCTACTGTAGCTCAGCATATTAAAGAAGTCAGTTATTTTTCAAGGATTTATTTTTCTGAGTCTATAACATATAATACACATACTGTATGAAAGGAACAAAAAACAAAAAGCACTTCAATATATTTTTTCATAGTTTAAGTTTTAATGTCATGTATGGTAATTACATTTTTTCAATGAAATAATTTATCTGTACAACACAATATAAAAAGAAAAATGAAAACTAAGCATCAGTACTATTTTGTTAAACAATTTCAAAAGGTAGCTTAAGCGTTCCTAATACACTGTTTTACTGTCACTGCACACAACAGTACAGTATTAATAAAGCTATAAAATACTGTGGTGTGGAAAGATTAAGTTTATATTGCTTTTATTCATGTGAAAAACAAGCAAAAGAAAGACATTAAATAAAAAAGCAACGTATGGTATAATTACAGATAAAATACCACTTAAATCTATAATAAATTATTTTTTCTGGCGCTCATCTGAGTTACAAAATGTCTCATGTCTTAGCTTTTGAGAATCTTTTACAAAACATTTTTAAAATATAACTAATTTTTCTAAACTTCAAAAATACAAACTATTAAAGTACCTAATAAATATGAATTCATAATGAAACAAATACAGTATCTGTAGCTGAAATAACTTTTGTTCTTTTTCTTCCAGTACTGCACATCATAAGTGTTTAATGTATTCAGATATGAAAAGTGAAGCCCCAAAAAGTGGTGAAAATACATGAGATAAAAAGCACATTACCAGTGTCTGTCTGCCATATTGACATTCTCATATGTTTGTCGACTGTTCAGTGTTCAGCCTGAATCAAGTCATGTGTCTTTATACAGTACATTGCAACAGCACGACACATTGTTGGCCAGTGTAACTTCAATGGTAACATTGCCATATGGATGTGGTAAGAAGTGTAATGTAATTTTCTGTATAACAGTTTTTGGATGAAAAGATCTGATTCAGTCACATTATAACTATTCTATAAATGTAATATTCCTTTTTCTGTATACTAACATACTTTTGTAGAAAGCTGCTGAGGGTTTTGAAGAGGAGAATGTATGAAACAATAATGTTTTATACTAAGTTGCTCATACTATTTTGTATTACTTAATGAGCTATTGGATTTCTTCTCATGTTGCATTTCTAACACAAGTTACAGTACATTTCCTCATCACACTTATAGGCTTCTCTAATTTGTGCTGCATAAACGTTTACCAGTAAAGGTTACAGTATATGTACAGTACAGTACATTTTTAACTACGGTTCACAACTTTTCAATATATTACATATTTTCAAAACTCGATAAGAATTTAAAATGATTTTTTAAATTAAAATAATTATGGAGCTGGCTCTAATGTGTTAATTACGATAGGATTTTAAAAATTTGCATTGTATAGACGACAAATAGGAAATGACATAAATGTAAATTTCTAGTTTCTGCCTGGAAGAGCCTTAATACAAACAGGATTTCCAACACCTTTTAAAAACTCAGATTAAATTTTATTTTGTGGTTTTATTTTTAAATGCTTGTTAAAAAAAGGGGTTTTATTTGCTTTCTACTGTTTGAATTGAAATGAATGCCATTAGTGATAGTTTGACTGGAATATAGTACATCTGATAACTGATCAAGGTAGCAGGTAATAACCGATATAAGGATCTATGCCAACTCCACGGCAGGCATGCATTAAGACTCCTGCTGCAAGCGTCACCAACCCATCCAGACCCATCTCCCAAAGCTGCACAGGCAACAGCAGACAACAAAATCACAGTTCGGTTTAGCCTTGGACCTCTCATGTCTGGATCGCTGAGCATTCTCAATCTAAAATATAGCAAAACTGCAAAAAAGTTTAGGTTTAGAAATCGCAAAAAAGTAGTTCTGTGAGAGTGAAGGATGCGTGCCTGCTTCATTTTGCGATTTACATTAAGTCGCACAAGTCGCTATTCTATTTGAATTCAGGATTTAATAACATGGAAACAAGCTCAGATTTTTTTTTTATGCACAGCAGGGTCAAGAGAAAAAGTGGCAGTAATTTAGAAGCCACTGAGGAAAGATTTGGAGAAATGTTGTCTTATGTAATTTGAGGTAAAGTATTTTGCAATGAACTGATAATGCATTCTGCAGTATATTGTACACAGAAGGAACATGTTACAATGACCACTTTCCAATGAAGTAGTTTTTTTTTCATATGGATCACTAATTAGTTAACGCGTTTAACACAGTACATAAAAAGAGACGTGAGGCCAGAGTTACATTGATAATTTTTTTTTCTATTATCTCTTTTCCATATTAAATCATTGTGCAAAGCACCATGAAAATCCAACTGTTGTCTCCAGAAATGAAATGTCTATGTTTTATATCATACCATTAATTTAAGTATTTTCATGATATCAAGGATAAACTTTAACCAGAGAAAGAAGTATTTTATATTGATCAGGTGAAATTTTACTTTAGATTACATTATCCAAAATTGTGTTTAAAATTTACAATAAAAACATTCCCATTGGGGTTATTATAATACTATACAAATAACTACTGGTATTGGTTATAGTTTGACAATAATACCCTAAGTACAGTAGTACATAAACGGCAGTATATCATCATTAAAAAAAGAAATATAGCCAAAAATTGCAAGACACAATAATAAGAAATATACTAGCCAAGGTAATCCAAACATTAAATTTATTGCTTAATGCCTGTGTTAGGATGCTTCTTTAGCATCTGAGACATTCTAATTAAATCTCTAAGTCTAATTCAAACTGTTACAGTACATTGAAAGGTAGAAACTATCACATCCTTACTTTTCATATGGCAAACAGCCAAGTACAGTAGATTTAGTTAATGTTGGATACGGACACCAGAAAAGATTTGGGCCATGTTGTAATATTGTATTATAAAATGTACCATGATTAGATTACTTATTATGGTTTTTAAACCCAAATTTTTCAAAAATTTCCATTTAAGATTTGTTTCCTTCAATCAGTTTTTATTAACAACATATTGTTTTGACTGACCAAGTAAAGCACAGCATTTGTACATTCAGTTGGAAGTAATGGCTTATACAGTATATAGTTTTGGGCTACAACAGTGTTCCATGCTGAGACAGCACACATGTGAATGTCATACTGTAAACGAAGCTACAAAGACAACTTTGAGATGAAGTTAATTAAGTTATGCAATAATTTTTATTGGCAGCTGTTTTTTTCTCCAGAATATTACATGATGAAAAAGGTGTTGCACATTTTTCAGAATAGCCAGAACAGCATTTAAATTTTGTCTCTAAACCTTAAAATCAGTGACTGAATATTTTTTTAAAAATGTAAAAAATATGATCAATTTCCATTCCTATCTATAATACATATTTGTAATGTTCTGCTCCTTTGATAATTTATTTTACAGCAGTAAAACTGAAGATGTTTCTCAATGATGTTTTCATCTTTATTAAGGCACAACTTTCACAGTTGATTCCAAACCTTTTTAACCTTAGTCTTATTACTGCAAAATAACTAAAAACACAGATCCACACAAGTTAACTAAAACCTATGTAAGCCTTTTGTTCTAGGCAATGTGAAAAGAAAGATGTTTTTGTACTGTATATACAGTACAGTACAGAGTTTGTGGTGTATGTTCATTTTTTAAATAAAGAATTAAGGACTTTTTTTTAACTTGTAAGGAATGTAAAACATCGTCATTTGTCACTTGCTGAAGCTGATGGAATTTTTCATATTACATTTTCTGAAAATGTTATTTTCACTGCTGAGACTGGAAACCTCGAAGGAAAACGGATTGCTGGTGTTTGTGGACCAGAAGGTGGCTCTCTTCTCTCGGCACAATAATTTCCAAACCACTGCCCCTTAAAGGTGACTGGGGGGTCTCTGTGTTATGTCGACACACAGCGTCCGTTTGGGTTTATGACGCTGTTCCACCTATGTTAGGAGGTACTGCGTTATGGCACTTACTGTAGGTGCCTTGTCGGCTTTTTGCCATTCTCTGTCAGTTATAAGACATGCACAATAAAGAGCAGACGTCTGCGAAACCTGTCTGTCTCAGACCCTGGTTTTCCGCGGCTTCACGCTCTGCTGTTGGAAGTGCTGTCTGTCACGTAAGATGTTCAACTCCTGACTACATGGTTAGGACTGCCTAACCGCTAAAAATTCCGAGACTCTATTCAAAAAGGTAAATATACTCCAAATAAACTCCATTTTCCTGTCTAAATTTAGCTCTGGGACAGAAAAATGTGGTCTACTAAAATGCAATGCATATATAGTAAAGATTCTACCTCCTATAAATGAGTGCTGCATTTCACTGGTAGATTGCAGGATTCTCCTCCTATACTGTATGTAAAGTGCGTTGGGATTCTTTGGGATGAAAAGTGGTTTATAAACATAATAAAAAGTCTTCCTATTAATATCTATACTTCTATATGATATGTACATAATACTCATGTATACAGTATATAGTAACAGATGCTTAACAGCTTTTAGAATTTTGCCCTTTTGATTTAGATATCTAGTGATCAGTTTTCACAGTTAATAAGAAAAGTATCTTATATGCTTATATTATACGACTAAAATGTGCCAGATTTTTAAAATATATTATTTATATTATTTTGTAAAAATAAAGATTTAAGGATTCACACCAAGCCTGTTCAATGAAAATGTTCCCAATAATACAGTATATTTTCAGTTAATGTTTTGACTTGATGTATTTCATTTCAAACCACACAACTAGGCACTGCTGTGTTTCATCGTCTGTCAACCTTTTCTGTAATTCAGAGTAAGAGTTATCTGTCCAATTATTTGTTATTTAAATATATATAGTCCAGTAATAACCAAGATTATTTTACCTCATTACAGTTTCATACAGAACTTTGAAAACCAAACAGATTGTAAAAGCAAATGGCCTCATCAACTTTGTAACTGTTGTAATGTAAATGACAAATTCTTTCAGTACATAGTTATGCTATTTTATAATACAGGCAACTGAAGTGAATCCACTGTATTAATAATAAAATATTGGGTTTTTTTTTCTGTTTTTGAAATTACTCAGGTGAACAAATTTTAATGCTCTCTCCTAAGTTCTATTAATGGCTATTACAATCTATCTAATTGTGTTAGGATTACAAAGATTTTAACACATCCAGTTATATTTGAAATCTGGTTACTAGGGGACATTATGTTACCAGGGGGCAATTTAAAGAATTTTATTTCTGATGTCTATCTGCGCAATTAGTTTTGAATTTCTCTCTGAAATTCAAATGATGGTCAAATAAAGGAGGAAACTGATAACTTAATAAACCCATAAGGACTTAGATTTTTTTTGTATTGTTATTGTTCACAGTCAAAACTCAATCAGCTTAAAAAAATGGAATTCTTTCACTGGAAATGGAAGAGATCAAGACATTTTATCCTGCATTTAACAGCAAGGCAGACGATTACTGCTGAAGTCCAGTAAACGAATGCTTGTAACTGTATGACGGGTTTTACTTGCACTATGTGATTGAAAATGAAATAAAAGTAAAACATTACATACAAAGTATATTGTCATTACATTACAGTCCCTCCAGCAATTGAGTCTATATTTTGCTGCTTGTGTTTGGAATGGGTTTTTTTTTAAGTTCGTAATTTCAGCAGGATTTCTAGCACTGCAGTTCTTTCTTTCCCTGCTGTGCTTTAATTATTCATCACCCATTTTTCCTTTAAGTAACCATTGGGCGCTAAGATGCCATTAGCCTCTAAAAATGCAACAAAAATAAATAACTAAATGTGTGTTTATACTCTTTCTTTAAAAGGGATTGAGGCGAATTCCTGTCCCTAGAGGTGAAAAGGGATTGACTTTTGCCCACATCAATGCATCATTCAGTGAAATTGCAGATTTCCCATCTTCAAGAAAAAAGACAGGCCCCTGAACAAAAGAAAACAAAACAGTTAAGATTTCAATTAAATGTTGCACAGCTCTGTTTCTAACTTTTTTTTACAGAGGTGTTATTAACACTACAGAAATAATAAACATTTTGACTGAATATTGCAGTCTTATCTTTACAGTAACAGAGTGTGAGAAATGGCTTTAGGAAAAGACTGCAATAGCAGCTGCCTGAAGCTAAAGAAAGACTCAAAGAATTGGAATATTCTGTAGGTATCTCGTGTATAATCACGTATTGTATACTTGAATAATTGTTTAGTATGCATTTTCACTTGGGATTTACTCAATAAGTTTTGTGTACTGTATACTGTATGTGTCACTGAGTAGTATTTCAGACAAGGATTCCGAGAACCTGAAGCTGGTATTTAGTATTTTTAAGAAGAGTTACATTTGATTAACAAGTCTTGTGTGTATAATGAACAAAAGTTTTTTTAGTTTTAAATGAAGGTCAGAAAGTTTCCTGTACTGTAAAATTCAAGCCACTTCTTGGTGTTTTATGTATGAAGGTCTCCTGATCTTGCACAAAAGGTACAGTAGTTAATGCCATTAAAACAATTTATATTGTAAGGACACAATAAAACTGAATGTTATTTTATAGTGAAAACATAACAAGATTTATCAGGATAATATTTATTTTTTATAAAGACAGTGTCGCACAAGTTAATAAAGCACTTATCACCCAACGTAATTAAATGTGGATTCAGAGAAGTTCACAAATTTAGATCAGTAACTTCACACTCCAGTTTTAAATGTCAAGTTTCTCAGAGAAAAATCGAGAGACACGAGCTGACTGAGAACTGAGCTGTGTAGTTATGGTTGAATTCAATGATTAGCCTGACAAATAAGCATATGGAAATCATATTCGCTCATGTTCCTCTTTTTAGTAGATCCAAACAACAGAGTGATACTGGGATATCAGCAGACACAAGAATGGAACGTTACCTTTGTACTGTACCTGGAATCTGAGATGCAAAAAGCTGAAAAACAATACAATAATAAAATATGTATATTCCAATTATTTGACAAACCTGTATCCTGAGTCCTGTCAGACAAGAGATCTGGACATCAGAGTGGCTGGGAAGATTAGACCCAGTGACATAGTCAGGTCCCACCAATCCACTGAGGGGTTCTTCTTTAATCCTGTTGAGCAAAATGTCATACACTTCTCTTTGGGCATCAGATGGAGGTGTATAGGGTACGTCCTCTAGAGACCTAATGAAGCAAAGGAAAAAAGCCTGAATGCATAAAAAAGGCATGCCTGCCCTGAAAACAAATTTGTGTTGTTCTACGCGATGCATTCAGTTTCAGTTTACTGTACATGCAACTGATGCTGGGCTCTGAACTGCTGGGACCCCTGTCAGGAACAAGCAGCTTTCTGATTATAGATGGATAACAATCATAATTGGTAACCAAAAGGTATATTTTACTTATTCAATAAAGTATCTGTAGTTTTTTTCTGTTGCCCTTAATTTTTAATCGCTGTATGGCACATTGAGGTATTATAGTGGAGGTCTGGTGGCTTGAATTAAGATGCTTTTATTATCCTCAAGTCATGTGGAGACTATTCTTGGTTTTCAGGTTGAGTTGAAGATGAAAGCTCATTTTCTTGATGGAAAAAAGAGACTGGATTAGTGAACAGAATTTGAGAGGTGTGTCTGGAAGAAAATATTGATTTAAGGGTTGGCTTACTTGTTTAAAGACTGTGTGCATGCCCTCCAAGCATCCAGCTCCACTGAGAGCTGCTCGATTTTCAGAGGGACAGACACTTCACGCCTTTTCATCAGCTGGCTGAAAAAAGGAACAAAGGCCACTGCAGTCTAAACAGAAAAAAATAAGCCAAAAAGAAATGCAGAGTATAACAATGGTAAAGTCTATTTCACAGCACAGTGCCTCATCAGGCTAGAGCCCAGGATGGCAGTCTGACCCAGGGTTATGTCTGCTGTGAGCCACTGTGGAAACTGCAACATATCAAATGACAACTGGCTCTGCTTGGGGGTATCTTGGAGGAATACATGCATGGTCCTCATTCTCCTGGTATGCAAAGTTATTCATAAAAACTACTGTTATACCCTGGTGGTAAAGGCTGTGGCCAGCCTGTTGTTGTTTCTAATTCATAAACAGCATTTACTAGCATGCTAGTTGCATTACCTGGTAGGAAGACAATACTATTAGATCATCTTTTCTTTTTGTTTCCAAAAAAATGGCTGATAAATGCTAGCATGGGGAACTGATGGCAGCACGCAGATCACAGGTGCTTTGTTAGGACACCAGCAATTACTAGTGCATTTTAATCATGTGAATTGCATCAGTGATGTACAATATTGTAAAATCTGTGAGCAATTACATTGCTGAGGGTATTGTACAGTAGGTAAAAATCAGTTTGACTGAGGGAGTTACTGTAGCTCTGATTCTCAACCGAACAGGCAAGGTGGACTGAACACTCTCCTCTTGTTTTTAAATTTTCTTTTGCTTTTAAGCTTTAACACATAGGGTCACTTAGAAGCATTTTTTCTTCTGTATATAAAACTATCATGTCCGGTGTGTACCACTGAGTTACTGTAACATCCTGCTAAGAATTTCTCATTTCTTTCTTTCTGTGTATGCCAAAAACAATGAAGAAAGCCGTTATTTCTGATATGTCTCTACAACGAACAAGGATAATTAGAGTGTTACTCACAATTTGTTTTAATCATGTGAATTATGTTCTTAAACAGATCATTTTAACTTCCTGTGGTTTTGTGTCATGTTTGTGTCATGAACTCTACAAGTCATTTCCACAGTGCACTTTACCATCATCTCTGCCATCAGACAAGACTTACATTATCCAGATGGTGGTTTTATGAATGACATGAAAAAACATCCACAGTGTTTTAATGAGTCAATATGGAAATTACATCTGTTTTTATGAATGGGCTGCAGCCAAACATTTAAAGATTATAAAATACTATTACTTGTATAATACACTTAATTCAGGAGTGCTTTTTCTTACATGACATGTGGGTACTTTTAAAGTGCTTTATACTCACCTTGTATACTCATAAAGTGCAGGAACAATACTGTAATACTGTCTTCTGATTGCCAGTAAAGCACCAATGTAACCACACAGTATTAGCAGCTCGTTACGGTCCCTAAAAAGAAGAAGGAGAAAGAACAATATAGCGGGAAACAGCCCAACCTGGTTAACACATGTTTAATGATGCTTTGCTTACTTACTCACTACACTTGTGGAGCACAAGCCGGTCAGTACGAATGTAGCTAAGAAGGTCAAGAATGGGGTAAACTGAGTCCAGGGTCCAGTCAGAGCTGCTTATTTGATCTATTGAGTGAGAGAATGAAGGAAAGAAAGAACATTTGTAAATGTATGTAAGCTGACAATGGGTTTGCGATAGATCATATTTTCTGTGCTGTCACTGTATCTCCACATTTGCTTGGAAATAAGCAAACAGTAGTCAGTCAATCCTTTGTACTGATCTTCTGTTCCACTGGAGGTTTTCTTGCTGATTTGAACAAGCTAGGAATAGACCTGACTTAATTCAAAGCTGTGATGTGAACTATATGTCCAATACCTAGTTTCTCAAACAGCTTCTGACAGACTGATAGATATATATACAGTATATACAGGTGTGAAAAGCAGCTTTTCTTGCCCCTGCAGAGATTAAATCTCAGTCTCTAGACAGAAAACCAAATCCTCTGCTTTGGCAAACGTCCTGCTCTATCTAGATTTCAGAGGAGCATGTTTCTTCTGTAGCTTGCTCTGAGCACGGAGACCTATTTTGTATCTGTCCCCATAAAAATGCATTTTTATCTTCAGTTTCACAAACAGAAAAGCATGTTCAAGGACAACCTGTTTACAAGGATTTGACCATCACAAGCATCTTGTGACTGTTATTTTGAACAAATAATACAAGCCATGACTAACACTGGGATTAGTAGTGTTAATATTATACTGTAGTAATCATGTTAACAGAAAAAATAAATAGCTTGAAAACACATGTAACAAGGGAGGTAACTTAAAAGAAGTTTAAGTTACTCCTTGGCAAATGTACATCTGGCTAATACAATGACCCCTACAATGTATCACAATGTGCCTGTCACATGCAGTCTATTAAATGTCTTAGCACACAATCTTCATTCTTAAAAGAAATGTTTGGAATTTATGCCACGCTTATATAATTCCTCTTTCAGACATGTTCAAAAAGATACTGTACATACAGTACCTTTAACAAACTGAATGCCAATTGGAAGGGCTTTTTCAGGCTGTGGGCTCAGAAGATGGTATTTGACAGCCTGGAAGATTTCTCCATCACTGTATGCTGTTTCTGCCAATTCCACACTTTCTTCTAAACTTGGCAGATTACACTAAAAGGTGAAAAAATGTTATTGGTAAAAATAATGTAAAACCTCTTTTTTTAACATTTTTGTTATAAGCACTAGCTATGTCCTAAGCCCAGGTAAAATAATGATAAAGTATTTAAAACCAAACAATACCTACTGTACAATATGTATTTTGCTTCCTTTTTAGGTTATTGATAATTGTGTGTTAACAGGTGGATCTACAGTATTTGATCCATCACAACATGTGACATAGTAAAGAACTGCACATCAAATTTAGTTTTTCTAATTTAAGAACAAAACACTCATTTATTCATGAAATAAGCAGGGTTAAGTTTGCCACTAAGGTTAGGGCTGGATGTATGGTTGGGGTTAGGTATCATGTAAACATTAGATTCTGGGCCAACTCAAAGGCTGTTAAAAACAAGAATTAAAATAGAGTTCAAAACTATTCAGAAACATCAGTGTTTGACAAAGCCCTAATTTAGGCCAATTGATTCATTTCCACTTACTGTGCATGGCCGAGCTTTTCAAAGTTTGAGCAAATACTTTTGGTTCACAGCTACACAATTAACATCACTTACTTTCTCATGTAGATCATTAATTTCTGCAGAGCTTCCTGGGTAGAAAGCACAGAGCTTGACTAATAAGATTTCATTTTCTGGAATCATTTGTAGTAAACTGGCAGCTAAGTCCCTGAACAGAAAGGCAAATGTCATGAAGTTAGTTTCAGTACAGTACAGTACAGTTAAGTTCTTTGAGGTTGCCTTACCATGCTCTAAAAAAGTGCTTTATAATAAATGTTCATTTATTATATATAAAGGCATTAAATGATGATGATTAAATCATGATGGGTCAGTTGCAATCTACATGTGAATTTAGCATACGAGCTGTGCACTAGCACCAATACTTTCTCTATGATCATCACACAGCTGAGCAGCTGTATACTAATGCAGTACTAAATCCAACAAACAAAAAACATTGTCTTCTCTCGTTGTCCTGATTGCCCAGCAGCTTGCCCTGCACAGGATTAAAGTGTCAAATGTGCAGTAAGTGCAGAGCTGACTGAAACCCTTGTGGATTTTATGTGGAGCACAATGGTACTTTAAATTCATACTGTACTCAGTACTCAAATCTAACAATTATAAAACAAAGACCTGTGCGAACGAGAAAATAAATGAATGTATTTGGAAACAAGTGTTGCAGTCAAGCAAATTGTTTTGAAAACTCTCCTGTTAAGATGTTAATTCCTGAAATGTATATAAAATAAAATACAGTCTCGAAATTAAATTCCGCATAAGTATTTTTAAATGTTAGAAACAGTATGATGTTATAAATGGCTGGTATGGCTTGAATGGGATTACTACATTCTTGTTAGATGCAGACAACAACATGAACTTCTCAATTAAAAATACACCACATGCATTAGTCATCTATTCTTTTCCAGCACGCATTAATAAAATACCTGTTTCCAACAGATGGAAAGCTAAAAAGAAAATGAACATAATGAACACCAAAAATGTATTTTCAACACAATGAAAAGTGAAAAAAAAAGTTATGAAAGTGACAGCAAAGAATGATCCACACTGGAAACACCCTGTTATTTAAGAGTAAAAGTTATTTTATGAGAATTCGTAAAATTGTTTATTGTTTTTTTAAAACAAACCGTTTCCCTTTTATGCACTGAGTATATGATTCAGCATTTAACCACTTTACATTGCTAATATACTGTATGACTGACAATGAAAGCATTTTAAAAGAAAAAATTGTATAAAAATCCAACAAAATGACATTTATTTTTTTATCTTACTAACATGATGATCTGCAGTATATTGTACAGTTCATTGTTTGGGGAAAATAAGTTGTTATAAAAAGCTTTTCCTTCTGATAAGCGGTTAGAAACAACCAGTGCCCTTCTTATTGAATGAACAAAGCTGCTACAAAGCACAAGGCTCTTACCATGTAATGGCTGTCATGTACTTCCTTGCAAGTAGTTCCAGGACATAATGTGTTGCCTGTGCTGCATCTTCGCCAAGCACAGTTCCCACACACACAGCTAGTTCCAGCTCGTTGCCACGGATCAGACTGGCCATCGCCAACTTTATCAAAAGAGGAGAGATTTTCTTGAAAGACCTGCTTGCATTTGCACACTCTACAACATGCCCAGTTCTAAAGGGCAACAGGTTAAATCGTCTCAGAATGTCCTGGTGAATACATAGTAGTCTCACTATGCAGGCTCACTTTAATATACTGTACAGGATAGTACAGAAGGCAGAAATTTGGTGATCTAATATACAGTACAATTACCCTGCTAAGCAAGGACTATATATTTTTGATACACTGTTGGACAAATACTGAAAATGAATTAAAAAATATCAGATTAGTTAGATGCATGTGAGTGACTCTAAATGCACCAATCACTTGAGTGATTGGTGAATTTATATTTATTTAATAACTGGTTTATTTTAGACATTGCTTATTTTGAATTCTCCCAAGCACCCATGTCAATTAAAAAAAAAAGGAAGCTTCCTAATTACTGATGGGAAGTGATACACTCCATCTTAGCCTCAAAACACTATCAGGGATATCCGAACTGAACTTTGTCTGGATGTCTGTTACAATACCAGCAGTATTGAGCTGCTTTAACTCATCCTGAAAAAACTGTCATGTCAGACACAGTCTATGAGAATATGTTTTTTCTTAAAAGCATTGTTTCCAATTCACACATTTTTTAAAACTGTCTAAGGTGAAATACACAGACTCATTTTTTCATGAAAGAGTTTCTATAACTAGAATGAACTGGATGGGCAGTCTTCATACAACTTCAATCACTGACACAATGAATTCATAAAATGTTCATTAGCTACTGTACATCTTTTAGTGAATTAAAATGTTGTGTGATCCAATATCAATTTGGCGGACTCAGAGGATAGGTATAGTATGAAATAATATTTACCTCAGTATTATCTACTGCCAAGTGACAGCATGCAGCCAAGACCGCTCGCCCGTCTTGGAAATACCATTCTGCAAGCTCTTTGCTAACTCGATGTAACAATCTGAAACACATGAGGGCTCCTTCAGAACCAGCATCTCATATTTTATACACAGACAGTATAAGGGCAGTCACATGAAAAAATTCTGTTTCCAATACATTTGTTTTATCCTTCATAATTTGAAATAAATCCTCTTCATATACTCAAATTTGCTATTTTGTATTACATCTTATACAGTATATTGCATGTACTGTACAGTATAAAACGTTTAGCTATAAAAACCACGAAACGTACCCATTGTATGTTTCCATGTTGCTATCATCTGTGTTGGGAGAGTGATTTACAGAAGAGATTTGTGGTACATGAATGTTTCCTTCACAGGCTGCCTATTTGTTAAAAAAAAAATCAAATATTAATAAACCATAACAGCAAACTGATATTTTATAGTTAGATTACTGAAAACTATCCATAGGTCACCAATTTGAAAATGGCGAAATAGAGCAAAAGCTGTGAGTTCAACACACTAAATCAGTAGTACAGAAGATGAAAATGGGTTTATGAAATGTAAACTTTTGCTGAAACTCCAAAAGCAAAAGAACGCATTTTATACTATTTTAGGATATTTTTTGTCACTGAAGTTGGTGTTTGGTATGATCGTGCTCATAACTACAGTATATCAATTCTACCTGAGCAACAAGCAATGCTTCCTGAAGTTGTCCTCTTGAAGTAAAAAAATTGACCAGTTTCTTCACATCACCTGTGGCAATGCAGTATGGTATAACATCATCATTTTCCTCCTGTATTAACTGGTCAGCTCTCCTATGTAAACAACAAGTATGTTAAAGTGTGTAATACATATGCACATACAGTAGATTCATATGTTTTAATATATTAAAAATACCTTTGCATAAGTTTTTTCCAGTATTTCATAGACACACCAGGAGCCACAGACAGAGCTTTGTCCCACTACAACAAAATATTTCACAATAAAATACTAATATATTTTCAAAAACAGTTTTTTCATATGAAACAAACAGAAAAATATTGGCTTTATGTGTTGCTACTTTTGTTTTTATTTTTACTTTATTTGTAATTTTACAGATGTGTTATTATAGTTTAGCTGTTTTCTAATCTCCAGTATTAGCATGCCTTTACTGCTCTTTACTACAGTGAATATGTAGTAAAAGAACACACATATTCACACATTTCATTTCTCATGTGTCTTAGTATTGGGACTCATAACCACAGTCCTTCTGTAAACTCTTTTTTTTCTTTTTTTTTTTAAATTGGAAATTAGGCAGAACAACTATCTAACAACTACTGTAATAAAGAAGAAATAACACCCCAGAAAGAAAATACTGCATCTTATACAGTATGTATATTCCCATACTAAAGTCTTGTATCACTGAAACTATAGCTAAATATTTGTGAGACTAAGTAAGAGTCATACATAATGGTTATACTGTCATAAAGGGAAAAGAGCACATTGAATTTTGCCCTCAGAATTCAGTCATCGTGTTCAGCATGTTTACAGTACTGTACCTCTCCGAGCTCCACCATGAGTTCGCAGTATCGCTGAATCTGGCCTAATCTCAGGTGAATTTCAGCTGCCTCCTTTAGCCTCTCTTCTTTGCTAGGTGCTCCAATACCACCTCCAAATTTGGACATTTTTACTATGGTTAGCTCCTGGGCTTCTGACTGGAGAGAAAAATAAACAAAAAGTTATACCATCTACCGTACATACACCGTTGTTACACAGAACATTCATATTGCCCATCACTGGTATCACGTGTTCATGTTTATGGTTAGTGCCAAAATATCACAATCCCCCGCCTAATAAGGTTTCTTTGAGAAGCAGGAACAGCTAGAGTCTCACCCTATTTTTATGATTCTTCTGGCAGGTGAGGTTGTGATAACGTTGACAGTGCATAGGATGGGATTGAACAGAGTTTCAATTGAAATAAACTGGGATTGTTCTCGCTAAGAGAGATGATGCTGACCTGTCCCATTTTCCTCAAGCTAACCACTAATATACATTACAGAATCAAACACATAGAAATGGTGTATGCGATCACTAGACCTAGTCTTTACAGAGCCATTAGTCTTAATAAAACACAAAGTGTTTGAGTCAAATTACATAATACTGTATACTTTATAAATTGTCTTGGTAAACTATTTAGTTCATATGATCCGCAGGTACAACAAATGATTCTCCTGAGCTACATGCAGCTACACAACTGGAGTTTCACATCATACGAACTGTTCATTACAAACAAAAACAAAGAAAAAAGGCAGCAGGCAAAGTTAATGTGACTCCATTAGGAACAAAAGTAAATGAATCGCTCCGATCCTGTCCAAATCTTCTGATGCCAGTTGAAGTCAGGGGTCAATACCGTACAGTCAGCCAAGATTTTACAAGCCTACAGTACCCTATTAGTGGGCAGTGGAAAAAAAAATACTTTTTCTGAAAGTTTCATTCCCAAGAATGCTTCTCTGTGTGTTTTTACTCACAGTTTTAAATCTAACCAAATGCTTCATGTGCATGATGCCTTTGCAGTAGTTCTGAGGAAGCAGACTGTCATCCTGGCCTTTGATCACAGCAACGAGGTCCCAGAGGTTTTTACTTCCACCTGGTGGCTATTCAATTAAAAAGGCAAAAACAAAAAACTTCAGAAAATGAAAACAACTAACCTAGAATTACAGAACTACAGTAAAAGACAGGATTATTTTTTCAGACAGGCTTTCAAGAACACAAGCTATTGGAGGTTAGTTCTCAAAGTTATGTTTTTCTTCACAAAGCCATATCTGCCACAGTGATAGAAATTCATATGGGCTCAGGCTCCTTAAACGTTCTCTTTCACAATCTGTTATTGTGATGTACAGTATAAGCACTCATACAACCTGGTTTAGGAAAATGCCTGTCACAATAAACACAGTTGACACATATAATCATAAAGTATAATCATAAATTGGGTAATCAAAAAGTACATAAAGTACTAGTACTAGAGCCATCCACTTGGATTCATGAACTCATAAATTACTAACATCATGAGAACTAGGAAAGTTACTAAGTCCCAAATTAGTGGGTGAGTAGAAAAAAGCTGAGCTGGGATGAAAATGTGCTGGAATAATCTTCCAGGACACCACTGTCTCCAAGGATCATCTTCTGTCAATTAAATTTGACATCAGCCATCAGGGTTTTTAATCTGTGATTAAAGACTAGGTCAATTCTGAATTAATTCATACCAAAGTTTTAGTATGCCAAACTATTTACTTTTGCTTGTTCTTGATCTGAAGGATAATGAAAATTTGATACGGTATTTTCAAGGATTTTGCAGAAATGGGCAGTTTATCTGGTATGTACTGTACAGTATCTACAGCAAAAGTAAGAACATATTTGTGTTTTCTCCTCTTCGACTGTACTGTATGTGGCAATAGCTCTCATACGTTTTGCATTGCTTTTACCATAACAAAAGAAAATCTTAACATTTATTGGCATGCAGAGTTATCGGAGAAGTGTCAAATAAACCTGTTAATTAACAAAATACTTACAGAAAAACATTCAGAAAACCATCTCAGTTTCTTTACCCGACTGTTGCTTGTGAGTTTATCCAACTCTTGTTTGATATCTCTAGAAACTTTGCCACAGAGAAGTGGTTGTGCACCAGGTACCATTGCCCGATCTGTATGGAAAAAATAAATAGTATACTTGAGCTGCATAGAACTTGTATAGTTGTTTAAAAAGCTAGATAGAAGTTGCTTAAGGGAATGTCTTTTCATTCTTGAACCCTTCTTGAACACAGAAGACTAAATGGGGATCTGATACACGTTCAGAATCCACAAAGGCATTGATAAAGTCAGGCCAGCTGACTTCTTCACTTTCAACAGTGAATCATGGACCAGAGGATACAAGCTGAAACTAATGTACTGTACAGCATGTGGAAGTGCATTCAAAACTGAGGAACAGAGTTGCTTTTTTCCGCAAAGGGTTCTGTGTCAGTGGAAGATGTGACCTAGCCATGTACCTGATAGTGCTACACTGGCTTCCTTCAAGAAATGAGTGGATGGAGATCTTTGGATCAGTTAACTACTAGCTACCAAACTGGCTAGATGTGACAGCTCTCCTCGTATTGTTTGTATCTGTTCTTATGTACCTATGAAGTTAGGGTGATAACATAAGGGATCCAGTTCCAGAAAGTCGTGAGCAAAAATGAATGTTGAAACTCACCAGTATTACCAATTATCTCGTCCCAGTTGTGGTCAGCTAAAATGTTGACCAGAAGAGGAGCAATAAGAGGAGTTAGTGACCAGAGTCTCACAGTGGAATCCCGAGAGCACGATGCCATTGTAAACGGACGACTTGAGTGGCAGGTTAGACCTACGGTCAGCAGTAGAGAAATAAAAATAAATTATATTCCCTTCCAATAGAAAAACACCCAGCATTTAGATATGGGTAATGGTCAAAATGGAAATTCAGAGGGACAGGCATGAAACTACAAAGAGTGGTGAGATGCGTGAGAAATAACAGAGCGGAAAAGTAAGTACAGTGTCACTCTGGATTAATGAGCAGTCACATACAGTAAAGAGCACTGTGTACAGAAAGTGCAGGCAGGTGCCGGTTATGGGCCGGAGTGTATTAGAAAAGTTTAGAATCATAACTATTGAAAGCGGAACATGTTTGTTCTGCTTTGCAAGTAATAATAAGGTTGCTTTTATTATCGGTATGATTTTTTTAAAAATACTAGTGGTGCTTTCAGATGAAATGTTCTTAAAAGTGACAGTATACCAGGTATATATTTCAAACACTGTGTATTGTAATATCTGAAGTACAACCATGAATATAAATCTCTTCCTAATATCAATTTCTGATATCATACCTGTTCATGTACCATGTGAACACCATTTGTAAGTACGAATTAGTTAAATCAAGATAAAAACAGTACACTTGCTTCTATACTCCATTCTCAAAATTCATGCTGCATGCACTGATAATTTTGAAACAGTTCTTGTATTTTAATCTTTAATTATAAATTTTTCTATATTACCATACACATCTGCACCATGATCATACACAGTGTCCAGGCAGGTTCCATCTCTTGTATCCCATACACGGATGGTGTAATCCCAGCTTCCAGAAATCAGAAGATAAGGAACTTCAGTGTTCCACATGAGCCCCCTCACTGGTGCAGTATGTCCGCTTAAAACATTAATACAGGCATCCTGTGTGTAATCCCATATCCGCACAGTGCTATGAAAAAAAGTAAACGTATGAAAATTTAATTTAATCGAACTGCAAAAAAAAATGTTTTTCCAAAGAAACACATGCAGACAGATAACTGTACACAGACCCACCCACAAAAAAGTGAAATACCTGCAACCTGAGTGTTATATTGCATAATATCATATTAAAAATGTTCAATTCGATCAATATCCCCTATGTCAGCTGGGTTAATCTCAAAAGGCTGCAATGATCTTTCTGATTTTGAAATCTAGCATTAAACTGTACATTTTCTGATTGTTATCTGTATTGTTTTTATAAGATTAAGTAAACAAAATAAAATGATGTACATTAATACATTCTAGGCTTGCTAACTTGCTAACACAGCCAATCAGATGTTAAAGGAGCATATTAACAATGCACCTGATGAGACAGCCACATTCATATACTGTAGCTATGAATTATTTCAAATTTAGCTTCTATACACAAAAATGAAAATTGGAGATGTGAATAAACAGGAAACCGAGATGTTAGTAATAATGTGTCATATTCCTATGAGACTATAATCAAGACTTTAAGACTTATAATGAACACTGACTAAATCTGCACTAGCATTTTTAAAAAATGCACATAATTCTTTCTAATGACCTGAGACTGGTTCTGTCCTTAGCACATTTAAAGGATTGAAAATCCTATTTGTATCAGACATGCCATTAATTTTTTATTTAAAAAAATCCCCTTAGTATTTTAATTAGAGATCCACAATGCATTTTGTGATTTCTGCATGATGAATAGCTCACTCATATGTAATTTCCTCAGATACGTCTTTTCCTTTGGTATGTGTAAAAAAACATACAGGATGAGCAACACCCTCTAAAGAGACTTACACAGACATATAAAAAAGTATTTTCTTGCATTTTGGTAATGATTTAATTTTGGATGGATTTGGTCATTAAGGGAGGTTTGCACTAATTATGAAATTGTTAATTATTAATTGAAACATTTGAAATACTTAATTAAGAGCTTCATGTGCTTCTTTGAAAACCTCTAGATATTATGTGTTCATACACATTCAAGGCTTTCACTTTCAAATGTGCTGCTCAAAGTTGCTGTTGGCTTTTCCCTGGATCGTGGTTGAACTCTCAGGTGGTATAAGCAATGTAATTGCATGGTGTTTCGCCTTGGTGAGCCCATCGGTTATTAGTGGATCCGATACAAACTGAACTTCTGAGTTTAAATTACAACAAATCATTGTAAGAATCATCACTATGCAAGAATTACTCATGTTTGCAGATTTTACATTAATCACAGGAAGGCTATTGCTACAGAATAAATTTACCCATCATCAGAGCCACTGCAAAGAATCCCTTCCCTTAGTGGAGACCACCGAACGTGGAACACTTTAGCAGTGTGTCCAGTGAACACCTTCAGCGGCTGGTCAGAGCTGGTGGCTAAATAATACACTCGAACGTTTTTGTCCTCGCAGCCAGTGGCAATCATGTCTCTTTAAATCAAGAACAGAAAACACAAGAATTTCTATCAGTTGACTGTAACGTTCTTTCGCTTTCCTGCTAACATAACATAATATGGTGAGAGGGAATAAAAATGCAAAGATATCCTCTAATGGAAAGTAATGCAATGAATCATCTGGTAATTTCTGAGACCAATCTGGATTTTTTTTTTAAATGGAAGGAATCTCTTCAAGAGTGGGAAAAGATTGCTTGTCAGGGCTGTTTCTGAATTGGCGATGAATGTTCCACAAAAGCAATGATGCACAGATTTCGTTTAATGTCACGTGGTGAAAGGAAAGCCCTGATGCATTTGCACTGTGTACATCCCAGCTCCAGAGTAACGATGCATTAACACATCCTGCCATTCACTTTAAAAAGATGTTAACAATGATTTGCAGGGAAAAATTGGGCACTTTGAATTGTGAGTGCTGAAATGCTGCAGCAATTGACAGCACTTTGTCTACGATATTTGCCTGTTGAAACTACTGTAGTTAGGATAACTAGTAGACCATTAATGATCATTCTTGCCCTCATACCCCAAGTGTCACCACAGCAAGACTGGAACATTTGCTTCACATTTTGCCACTGATTTTAAACAGGCCAATTAGTGATAGAACACTATCAGTCTGGCAGGCTGTGATCTACAGCACTGAAGGCTGTATTAAGGCCAGCCCATACTCATTAACACCAACTTGCATGGCAATGCTGGGCAGAAAAATGGAAATAACCTTGGTCAAGGGATGCTGTCATTTCCTCTGAAAAACGTTTTAATGTTTTAATGGGAGCTGCTGACTGTCAGCTCTGTGCTTACCAATGCCTGGTAACCCAATTTGCAAAGACTGTGCAATTGAACAAGATCAGTTTGGTGAAGGAGAAAGGAGATTGTGGAGTGCAATTAACTCTCAGTTTTGTTCAGAACTTGCCAAGCAAGGTAGTGTGAGACATATTTGGGTTAACATGTTCAGTGTTCAGTGTGTGGTAATTTGTTTGTAGCGAGTGAAGTTGTATTTACTCTCTGACCCAGGGAAAAGTGTGGTCTGGGCGGTTGAGGAGAGAATGCAGGCTCGCGCTGTGTCCGTAAGTCTTTTTCTTCTTCTTGCTTGGTCGGCTGGTTTGTTTTTGTTTTTATCAATAAAGTTTGATAATCGGCCAGTGAAAGCTCTGTTTTCCTTCACATGAATGCCTAAAACCCTACTGTATACCGAAGCCAGGATTTTACAGTAGCTTCACTGCCCACTGCTTTGTTTTTCAGTTCTCTTCCCTCTGTTATTGTAGTCTGGCAGACACAAACAACTCATTTTTCAGCACAACAATGCTCTCCTCTCTACAGTCATGCTACATACAGTGCAAAAATATACGATACCGTTGCAGAGTTGTTTTACACTTTGCAGCCATCAGACAGCTTTCCCACAATTACTTTTGAGATGTATTGTATACGCTGGTCAATGCCTCTTCGAAAAACAGAATAACTCAGAGTAGAAGGCAGCCAATCCTGCATTTCTCCATGACATCTATCACATCATAACCATTGTCAAACAAAGCTTAATTTCATAACATTATTTTACTCATGGAATGGTGTTCTCATTGCCTCTCAGTATCACTTGCAATACTCAGTATCCCAGTACTAAGGACAAGAGTACCGGTTACAGCATTTCTTTCTCATTTAAAAAATAGATTATTTTATTATAATGTGTTCAATATATTTCTTCATGTTAATTACTACAAGAAAGACTCCATATGACTTTAGATTTGTAATTACTGTATAATACTACACTATATAATATTGTAATGGCGTTGTTTAAAGAAGAAATTCTAGATGGATAAATCTTCCACTCAGGGGATGTACTGAAAGCAGATTCTGTGTTACATAATCAGACTCAAACTGGTCTACTACATATTAGGTTATACGCAATACATTGGACTGGCTAGGACATGTTCAGTAACATATACAGTACAGTATTAGCATTCATACTTACTTGTTGTTCTGGCTCCAATCACAACCAAACACTGCAGCTGGGTGCTTATATCTATGCAACACTTTTCCATCAATTGTTCGGATTATGCTAAAATCATAATGTAACAATAATAAATAAAGGAAGAAACAGGTGCCAAAACAAGAACATGTCAAACATTGGGAAGATTTCCTGGGTTAATATTTATTTCATTGAATACTTCTTATTATGCCTTGATTTCAAGCCCTTAACGTTCCAAATTGTAAAATGCATTGTTAAAGATATTGTAAAGTAATTGACTACTTTCTTCTATTATGCTGATGATCTACAGCAAAAAAGGCTGTGAATTTTGAGTAGCACTTACCAAAAGCCATCGCCACTGCAGGTGGCAATCCTCTTAGAATCCTTATGGCTCCATGCAATGCAGAAAATGCCATTCTTTCCATGCTTAAAATGAATAAAGGCAAAAATTACCATACTTTACACACTGTAAGTATGTCGGTCCCCTTTTCAGGCGATCAAGGCCCATGGGGAATGGGGGGCAAGGGCCACCATTGTTCTTGACCATCCGACACTGGAGGTGGAGGTGATGTGGTCAGCATCACGCTCCGGCCAGCCTATTACCCCCAGAAGGATTAACCCCCGGTACTCACTTGGAAAGCAGGCTGAGTGGACTTGGGAGCCATCTGGAAGGAATTAGAGCAAGCTACATCATTTGCCCCTACCCTTCCAGTCAGGAAGCTAGACACCCTTGCCATCTGAGCTACCACACCTCCCTTACACACTTTATAAAGTATATATTGTAAACATACATAATTTAACAGATTAAACTATTTCATTTTGGAAGATTACCCAGAAATTTGGCCAAAAAATGTCTGTCCTTTTTATCTGTGACACACATTTTAGAGATAAAGATTTGAGGCTAAATGGAGCAAAAGACAATGGTATTAATATACTGTATGTCATTCCTTTAAAGTTTCCATAGATTTCTAGCACTTACATACTGTAATTATTTGCAATGTAACCCATCAAACTGATCTTTACGATCTGTGTTAAGCAATACTTTTTCATTTCCTCCAAAACCATGCAGCGTATATATAAAAAAAACAATAATCAAATTAATCGCTGGTAGTATAGTTTGTGGGTTCTTGCGAGGATGAGGGTTGATATTATTTTCAATATCATAAAAAAACATACCTCATTAAATCTTGTGATCATTTTGGCTTTTTTCACATCCCATATAAAACCACCATTTCGAGATGTGGCACCAGCTATGCAGTTCAAGTCTCCTTTTATAAAATAAAATCCCAGTTATTAAATAAACAAGACATTTTTGCCAAAATATCTTTGCCAATTACTAGGCCATCTACCGAGAATAGACAGCTTTTACCTGGGGCCCAAGACAGCGAATAGATAACTCCTTCATTTCCCGGAGAAGTATACACGGCTGTAAGGGTGTTGATGTCCCACACTTTAATTGTGCCATCAAACGATGCTGTTGCCAGTAAATTCGGGTCATCTGGTTTGAATTTGCAGTCAAATATTGTCTCAACATGTCCCTAAGTGGAAAAAAAAAACGTAAATGAATCCACACAATGCACCAACAACTGTGCATTCCTTCAATCTACCAATAAAATCCCGAGGATGAATATGGACTTCAATCTAAGGAAACTGATGGAGTGTCCAGTTCCTGCATTTATTTCTTTGAATCCTGGTGGAGATTATGGCTCAAGCTTGACGCTGAAGGGCTAGCCTTCTGCCATGCAAGATTTCCGTTCTGGGCATTCAACACTTGGCATCTCTCCCCATGCGTCACATCACTTCCTCTTTGGGTCACTCCTAGATGGCAAGCTACTGTAGGTTAAAGCCCAATCAGTGTGTCAGATTAATCACTAGAGCACTCTGTGACAGAGTTAGCCCCAAAGTCACGCAAACATGACAAAAAGGAACAAATTCAGTGACTTTATAAAGTACTTCTTTAATCTGACTGTTCAACCTTTCACTCAGGATTGAACCATCAGTCTAAAGGTGGGAAGCAAATAAAAGCGTATTGGGTTTTTAATTTTTAAAAATGGATGTACAGTAGGTCAAACTTTTAATTAAATCTAGACCTATATTTTGATTATGTTTAGATAATGGCTGTGATATCATGTGACGGTTTGTTCTCCTTACCAGGTCCCTGAGAAAGTCCCATTTCTTTGCTCCCATGTCATAGAGTCCAACCCCTCCATCCATAAAGCAGCAGACAGCGTGGCCAGGGGGGAGACAGAAGGCCTGGCTCTGGGAGAGGGTCGGTGGCGGCACTGCCTCACTCGTAGACGATGTGTGGTGATTTTTTGTTGGGGAATTTGTGGAAAAACCTAGAACGAAGAATGAAGTGTTATGGCACTTTCAGAACAATTCACTGGCTGACAACATTTCATCGTGCTCCTACTGAACTGATCAAAATATGATTTCTAGTGAAGTAAATTGTACTCTCTGTCCATGCAAAGCTAGTCTGACTTCACCAGTTCCTTCGTCTTTCATACTGTTAGTACAAAAGTCATTAGATTGTTCTGTGTTAGAGGGGAAATTCATCAGTGCCTAATAAACTATTTAAATCGAGTCAGAAATTTCAAGAATAGTAGCCTGATTTTTTTCAAATTCTTAAGTGCATGCCTTGCTTTGAAGATGGTTTTAGTAAGAGTCTTTAACACTCCAACGGAGCCAGGATAGGCTAAAATTGTGAGAAATTATAATGTGATTTGGAAATACCAGCAATAATTAATAATTACTATCTATATTAAGTTGGAACCAGAGCACATGTAATGTCACACAAATATGGCTACTTTTAGAACCCTTTTCCAACAATTCCATTTTCATATCCGGAACTCCGTTCTTTATGTAGATGATTTGTATGGCTTATGATGGCTTAGAGAGGTCACAGCCTGGCCATGTGGACATGGTGGACTGGACCCCAAATTAAGGGGCTACGGCAAGTGTGGACATAAAGAGCATAGTGGTGACGAGTGACTGAACAAACAAGACCAAGAAGGAAAGTCTCATGCCGAATGGAGCAGGTGATTTGTTGAACTGAGTTCCTGTCCTCCACCCCACCATTTGTTGTAAACTCCAGTAATAAAACACATACTCTAGTCATATACAGTATACTGTGTATATACACATACACTTAAGTAAAAAAAAAATGTATGATGTATAAATTAATGTTACTTACTTTTTTTGGCAGGCGGAGAGTTCAATACATGCAACGCGTGAAAGCCTGTCTTTTTCAATTTGAAATTGTCTAATGGCGTTGTTCTCGACACATTCCAGACACGCAATACGCCAACCTGGGAATCTGAAAGGCGAACACAGGCCTGAAATAGCTATGTATTTCTTCTTACAGTATGTTGTTCTGACTGTTTTGTAATTTCTCATAATCCTTTAAGTGGAAAACATAAAATATTTTTATATGAATAAGAGTATTTTTAAATGTTAAATAGAGATAATATTCTTAGTTACGTAAATAACTATTAAATTCCTAAATAAAAAGAAATTGTATCCTTAAATATTTAGTGGCAGAATTGTTATACTGTAAGTGATTTGCAATATGCCCCTGAAAGTGTCACTTACCTCCTGTAATAAACATGCCAGGAGCACTGGGAACCCATGCTAAGCACTGTACTGATGCCGCAACACTTGGGAAACTGAAAGTTGTTATGCATGACAGAGATTCTGAGTCGACCAATCGGATTCCGTTATGCAGGTTAGCGACAAGGAGGTAGTCTGTAGACAGAGGGTCCCATTCAAGGGCTGTGACGGGATCCTCCTCATCGGTACCTTCCAAGGATTCAGGTCTGAGAACATGCTTTTGACTTTTGGAACCTTTTTTTAAAGAAAACAAAACCACGGCAAATGGATTTTACCGTATGTCTCTCCAGGTGAAGAATTTCTGATTTCAGAAACACATACTGTATCACGTGAGCGGGCATTAAGATAAATACGTTATCCTTCCATTTAATTTGCAGATATAACAGCTACAGTAAGTATAGTATCACTAGAAGGAAACTGAAATAAACTGTGTTTGCTTATTAACAACTCATTAGACGCTTTAATTGTATTATTAGCATAATCCTACCTTTTATATATGTTTCAGTTCTCAAAAGGCTGGAATACAATATAACATTAATGATGTACAAACTGTAATGCAGGGCCACTCAGAATAAGAGCCTAGGAACATTAGAAACGAGAGGAAATCATCTCCAAACCTATTTTGTTGAAAGCTTGTTTAGAGTTTGGGACCCTTCCATTTCTGAATTTTGCTATTTTATATCCAGCTCCTTGTTTATTTAATTGATAACTAACAGGATATATATTATATAACAATATGATATCAGAGGAAATGACTAGAGCTGAGAAAAAAATCTGTAATAAAATGTATTTTGTGTTACCAATTACAAAGTCTAATTATCTTCTATAAGACATACAGTAATTGAAGTGTTACAGTACATAATGCTGTATATGGCCTTTTGGTAAAAAATCAAAGACTGACAGTGTTTTACCAGGTTGAAAAATAGAAAGGCTCCCATCTGTGTGTCCAAATACCACTTTTCCTTTCTTTTTGGGATGCCATCTGAAAAGACAAATGTCAGAGAGGAAGCTGTGGGCTTCTTTGTGCACAGCAACCCCACAGTCTGGCCCCGAGATTGTCCATATGTACAGGGGGCCCCGATGAGAGACAAAGGCTACAGCATCTCCCGAGTTCCAGCACCAGCTCAAAGAGGCAGGAATACCTGCGGATACATGGAAGTTATAATGTCAGATTTGCTCACGCTGAAGTAAAGCCAATTGTGAGGACATGATGCAAGCAATTTTGAAAATTGCAATAATAAGGTAACATGCTATCCAGTGTGTAAAAAACAATATTATAGTGATGAAGGATACCTTTTGTGTTGTCTAGTCTTGCCACCACCTTCTGCTCAGCTACATTCCAAATAATCAGCAAGCTGTCAGCACTGGCACTTGTAAACACGTCAGGGTTGTGTGGGCACCACGATATGGCAGTAATAGTCTTCTTGTGCTCAGACATGATTGCTCGAAGTTTGAACTCATTGTATCTGCGATCCAGCTGCAGGCAAAAGAAGACTCCTCGTCACAAAGGTAGACAAATGTTCGTGAAAATATTTTTACAGTTCCTCATCAGTGTTTTTAAGGGAAATCATTCGGAAAATAAGTCCATCTATTTAAAAAAATGTATCTTGACGTCATATTAAACTGAATACAAACGTAAAATTAAGCTGAATTCTCTAATTGTGTTGGTGGGAAGCCTTTTAGGAATATTTTATGTAGAATTAACTGCATTATATTAGTTACCTCACACTAACATAAAACATTTACTTTTACAAAGATACTGTACAGTAACTGCATACAAAGAATTCCATTTCACAGAACACTTCCTAAAATCCCTCCAAAACACCTTCAAAAAATGTTCAGGGGATGTCAGCAGGACTCATGAAAAATATCTGTAAATTCATTTTCATATTTTCTTCATACCATACTGTACATTGTACAGTATGTGTTGCAAATTTGCTCTTTGTGAGATAAAACACTGAAACAATGAACAGGAGATTAAAAAACAAACCGAATAGATCAAATGCGTCCTGGTGAATATTTAGGTGAACACTGACCATATCAGTGAAGATAACAGGCTTTAACCTGTTAATTCCGGTAAACCATTGTACTGTACATCTTTCTTTTACACTCTCCGTGGCCTGAATTACCTGATAGACATATATTGCAAGTGTTGCACAGTATGCAAACCTATCTCCACTAGCTGCGCAGACATCTTTGTTCCACGGTTGACATCCAGCAGCCAGAAGGCCTACTTGTTTCACTTGGGACATTTTTATCTGTGAACAAATAGGGAAATGCTATTTTTTTCAGTCTGAAATAAATCCTGTACAATACCTCCAACCCTAAATAGATTATATACAGTATTCTATAACCCCCCTGTGTTCTTGTATACTATTATAGAATATTCAGACAATTAATACCTGTAATACTTCATAATACAGTACTTATGAATGTTGGTAAATTCTACACTTCGGTGATTGTTTAAAGATTTAACCTGATTTTTTTAAAAATAAATCTTTTACATTCTTTTTAATCTTGTGAAAAGATTGAGTTGCTTTATACAATAATCATTACCCTTTATCCTTTATCATGAAAGATTCCCTATTTAAAAACTACCATCCCTGCTGTCATGCTGATGGGAAAGAGACAGGTCAGAGCACTCGCACGACATGTTTAATCAATAATGTTTCAAAGCACATGGAAACAGAGATCTTCAATATCCATTTTAGAATTTTCTTTTCTTAGTGGTATTCCTGTTCTTATTTGTTAACATGCACATAAGAATAATTCTTCAGAACGTTTCACTTCACTGGAAGACTGGTACAATACATAATGCTACCTAGAAACTGTTTTGGTTTTTCAGTGAATTGATATGCTGTATGTTTTAATTAACATGAAAAATAATGATGCATTATCACAGGCCTTTAAATGTACTGACTTCTTTTGTTAGTTGCATCCTACACTTTAAGAATTACTGTACATTTTCGTGAAATATTGCATAAATATTTGTTATAAAACAGAGATGCAATATTTACTCTATTTTGTTTTTGTTTTTGTAATAAGCTTGGCATGTGGGATGGAATTAATAATGCATGGTGCCCTTAAATCAGCCCAGTTCCATCTTCAGTTTCTTAAAATGGGGGAAGTGGTTTTCAAGATGGCTGACCTGATGAGAAACAGAGAGTGGCTTTCAATGAAGAAAACAATAGAAAATCCTCATTCAGTGAACAAAAGAAATATAAATTGCACTCATCTTTACCTTTCAGCATGGATTGAACCATTACCTGTCCTTCTGCAGCCTACATGTGCTGACGCAGCTACTAAGCAAACTTCTTTCAATCAATGTCTTCTGCGACCTATGCCTCACACTAAATCTTCTTCTAGATCCCTTCATCATGCCTTCTTCTCCTCCCTGGGCTCCGTGCCTTCTTCTCTCACTAAACCAGCCTTCTGTGTCTTCACATCTTCTCCAAGACAAGACTTTCTAACCACCTCCTACTCCTCTACAAATGACGTCATACAGTAATATTAACTGGTAAGGCCAGGCTTCAGACTTGCCCTTTGGAACATCTGCAGGTCCTTCCTTTCTCCACACATTAATCTTTTATCACTTTAGTTCACCTTGGTCTCATCTGTCCATGAAACATTCTTCCAGTACTCTTCCGAACAAATGCTGAAGCCTGGGCATGCATGGCCACCTGTGGAACCGGCTCATTTCTCTTTACTGATTATGTAACTATTTACGGCAGCAGCAGAATGAGCTCGGAATATTATTCATTACATTACACATTATATTACTCTGAAGAGTTTGTCAAGAGTAAAAGGAGTATGTGTTAGACTAGTCAAGTCAGCTTCTTTATTTAAATTCAACTCAGGATGCGTTTTACACGCTGAATTAAATCTGAAGACAGAAAACCCCAAGAATAGGCAATAATTCAAAGTTGCTGCAGTAAAGCCTCTTGAATGATACAAAGAATGTGGTGAGCTCAATGGATCACAGGCCCTTATGCAGCTATGGCCTCAAAGGGATGTGCAACAAGATACTGAATTTTAAACAATGACATTTAAGGTAAATATGCCCCAGTACTTACGATCACTGGAAATCAGTGAATCGAACACAAAGTATTCAATCAAATGTACTTTATGCATATAATTTCCCACAAATAAAATATATTTTACATTTGACTTATTATTCATACTAATCTAAAGAAATTACTTGGCTGTGGAGTAAAACTAACAGTTTTGACATTACTGTCTTGGTCTTGGAATTGTATTTCTGTATTTCCAGTTCACCTGGTCACTTGGTTATAACAATTATTTCTCTCAAGTGACTACTAACAGAGAATGTGATAGAGAATGGGTTTAGAATGTCGTGAGACAGGGTTAGTTTTATCCTACGGATGATACTGTTGTAGCCACAGTAATCCTGCTCATTACAAGAAGGATTTGGTTATGATTTTGATCCAATGGTATGAAGCAGCCCTGGAATCTGGTTCTGGTATCTGTTTTTCTCTTTTTAACATCATTATGCACAATGCTCAGTCAAATTTAAAAGTTTGGTTATTTAATAATTGTTCTGTTTTAAATTCTGTCTTCTGTATAAAGTTAAAATGAAAAAAAAGTATTTAATAAGTTAAGTATTTACCTCAAAGAAATGTTATGCATTATTAATACCGCTCTACAATGTTTGTTTTAGCAGAAGTCATTAAAAGTCAAAAATGACATCCAAAAGTGCAGTATGCTAATATTAGGATTAGTGTAATCATAAAAAACAAAGATTATTACTGTGGACCTGAAAATTAAATTTGATTACAGAAACACAAAGTATGTACAGTATACATGAAATAAAAGTAGATTTAAAATGTGTCACTAAAATGACATATTTTTCAAAGGTATGCAGTGTATCTTATACAATAAAACAGATATTCTTTAAAACTGAGATTTACATTTTAGAGTTTTAAAATCCAATCTGAACAGCCGACTCTTTTTAGGTCCACATTATTATAATTATAACGTAATCAAAAAATTTTGGTGAACCCAAAAGCCTTTTCTACCCAGACAGAATTATGCCCTGTGGTACAAAAGCTATAGGAATGAAAATAAACAGACAAACCATACCTCCCTTTTCCATGGTATATTTTACAGAGCATGAACTGAAAGGCTGCATATTGTTTAAACATAACAATGAGAGTGCCTACCTTAACATCAGCATCGTTTTTTGTAAACCATTTGAGAATTTCCATTTCCATGTTATTGTCTTTGAGGTTTCTGTAAGTCAATAACAGCAGTCTTCTGCAGAAACGTATTTTAATTTCTACCCCTTGAACATGAACAATGAACAGGCAGACCTACAGTAGTCTGTTCATTGACTGATACAGGCTTACTGTATGATACAAGCAGAAGGCAAGTGCACCAGAGCAACTTAGACAGTAGCCTGGCAACTGCAGGTCCCTTTATATAAACGATCCCCTTTATTCTTGCCTTGATAACTCCTTAAAGGTGTTTTTGTTCCTTTTCCCCTCTTTCTGTCTCAGTTTATAATATATTCTGCATCAGAACAGGACTAGTCTCCCTCTCTGCTTAAGAGGGTCATGTGACTGCAGCTGCAGCTTCCTGTGCCCATAGATAGAACACCGGGAGCTAAATGATAGTAATAACAGTCATAATGTAATACCGGTAAACACACTTATTGTCTACGAGCTCTTATTATAAGATTGCTGACTACTATTAGAAGAACACGCTGCATTATAATTTCCAGATGAACATGTTTTGATCAGGTTAAAGAGAACACGACAAAGGCAAAAGACAAAGGCAAAAATAACATAAATGACATGTTATTAGACAAATAGCGCTAGATTTGTGTCACGCATGCCAATAAAGCATTAGGATCTACTTTTAGAAACCTACAGTGGATGATAGGAGCAGATGCAGTATCCTGTGATATGATGGTACTGTTAATTGGGTGACTATATGAGGTACATTACTTCAACCTTGTAGTGGAAATGCCTCCCTGTGCTGAAAATTAACAATGCAGGAAAGGCCTCTCACTGCACTGTTTCCTAGGCAATGAAGACTGTATACCGTGATGTATAAGTGCCAGATAAACTCGAGGGTCACTGGCTCAGTCAGAAACATTCTTTGAAAGCGTGTGCAGAGTGCAATATCAGATCAAAGCAAATGTCCTTCCATTCAATATTGTACTAAACAAAAACACAGTAACAACAGATTTTGAAAAGAAAGATGTACTGTATTTCACTCTGATGTTTTCTTACAATGTTTTTGATGTTTTGATTTAAGAAATATCATGTACACTGGCATTTGTTTAAAAAAATCTATAATTCCCCAAGATTTTGCAGGATGATTGCACATAAGGATTATGCACATTGAACAGCACAAGCGTGATCTCCGTGCAGACCTACTGTAAGCAGATTCAAAGCTAAGTCATATAATATAATTAACCAACCGTTTCTTCAAGTAGCATCATAGTAGCATTTCAGTGATGTCAGTGAGAGAGGCAATGCTCTCCCAGTTGGTGTTGACTCTCCTGTAGGGCATTGTGGAACTGTAGGGCATTGTAGGGCACAGTGTCTAAAAAGTTCTATGTCTCTGATACAGTAGGTGGATATTTGAAAAGAGTGTAGATCCTCATTTATCTTATGCAAACCAGGAGTTGTAGCTCCAAAGATTCTTAAATACCTGTCTACAACCCTTTGGTTTTGGCTGGGTGTGTCCTATGTTTGGAATTAATGAAAGTTTGAATGGAATTCTTGTAAAATGACATTAGCCACCTCAGGCTTAATACTACCTCAATATTGCCCTTTAACGCCTCAGCAAAAGTTAAATACTCATTTTGTTTTGGTCTTAGTGCTACTGCAGTAACAAATTAAGCAGTCCAGCATGTTAAAAAGAAGAGGCTGTTAAATTCACTTAAATTCAAACCAGAGTGTCCAGATCTTACTTTCTCTCCTGGAAGTTACAATTCTATTACAATTCCATCCCAGTATCCAATGTGTGTGGTTTCTAACTGAAAAATACTGTAGCATTGTCTTTTACAGTATATTCAGATTTAAAGAAAAAGCTGTACAGCACCCTCTAATAAAACATAGTATATCATGTTTTTAACATGTTTTTAACATAGTATAAATAAAGTTAATATGATATATATTTTATGTTTAAAGAACTGTTACTTGTCGACTGTCAAGCATTATACAGTATGTATTTAAATGTTGTAGAAATGTTTTTGGAGTATTTTGAGGCAGAGGGTGAAGATATTTATAGAGCTAGGATTCCATACTCCAGGCATTCTAAGGGTCTATGGTACCAACATACTGTAAATTATGATCAATTCAGTTTAGTTAACAAAAGACAATGTTTGAATCACAGTTTAATTTCAACATAAACATTTAATAATGGATTTAAGTATTATAGATAATTTAATTATCTTTAATGGGGAGAATTCTCATTTCAAATCAGGAAGTTGCTCAAATTAATTCACAGCATTTTAAAAATATGAATTTTAAACATTTAAGAGAATCTAATTTAATCTTTAAACATTCATTTTGCACTTCACAGCTCAGATGCTTTTTTACTGTAATTACATAAAGTTAACAAATCAAAGAATACTCAAGAGGAAATCTGCATCCTCTAAGGAGTTTTCAACCAGATTGTCAAAAAATCTCCATATTCAGACTGTATAAAAAAGATGTTATATCATTTAAAAAAAATCTTTTAGCTTCTAACTATTCATCCAACACTTCGTACGAGTAGACTGTTATCAAAGACACCTTAACACTATATAGTTAAAAATATATAGTTAATATGTGTTGTAAATTATTGCATACAGTATAATAATAAAATATATTAATAATTATCTTCCCTTTGTTTTATTCCAGTGCTCAAGAAACAGTATACTGTTTCTTTTGATTTCTGTGAAAATTAAATACTGTATACAGTACTTTAGATATGTTTCCTAACATTCAAACAAAAGCAATTTCAATGTTTGTATGTTTAAAGTATCTGAGCATCTTCATTTTTCATAGATAAATTCAAATGTGCATGTTTGGGGATTTAACATTGCAAAACATCATGAAAAAACACAACAACAACAGTCCGATCCCTGGGAGACTGCCATGTACTAACACAAATCATATCAGTAATAAGCAGGAGAAAAAGAAGCAGACATATGTACTGTACAGTATATATTTTTTCTTTTTAATTATAAAGACAGTGCTCTCCACCTATCTGCTACATTGAACAAACCTATTTCTCTTGATGATCATTATTTTGGTCAGGTAAAAAGGAAACTCCATACTAAAAGGTGGTGGGGTAGAACACATTCATACACTATGTTGTACAGTAGGAATGAATAATCTGTGCAATACAGCAGTGAAGCTTTGTCATGTTAAGGTGGTTGTTTTCTGGTCACATGAAGGATGAGCTGATGGTCAGAGAACAAGTTTAAAGAGGAAGGTATGGGGCCTGTCCCTCTATGCCATGTAGGCATCAGAAATCTTATATACAGTACTATTATAAATTCAACGAACCAGGTGAGGGCCAGCACAGGTAACCATTTGGATCTATTCTGTTCTATAACCATAGAACCACCTCCCTTGACACCTTCAGGCAAAATGAGAATGCAAAAAATTAGATTGGACTCTTCAAGATTGTTTCAGCTGTACTCTTTCTTGGCCTGGGGAATATCCATCCAATCACTTTCCTTGGAGAAAGTTAGGGTAGGAGACAGGGGATATACTTAACTTCAACAGCTTAAGGTTTTTATTTTTAAGGTTTTCAAGGTTTTTGTTTGTCTGCAAAGGGACCTATGCCTCAATAAGCTGAGGCAGTCTCCTAGTTCGTCTGCAGAGAAAAGAGTGGGGTCTGCAGTTGTAGCCCTTGGAGTGGGGTCTGCAGTTGTAGCTTTTTTTTTTGGCTTTCTTGTCTTTGGCATTGTGGGAAAGAGTGCTGGGCTTCATTACTGATCCCCCGCGTTTCTTAGGGGCTGTACGACTTGATTTAACTGTGAAAACCATCCTATCCTGCATTTTAAACAGGTTTTAGAGAATGTGAAAGCATACTAATTATTACTAAATAACCAGTCAGCTTTTATTTGCTTTATACATTCACAAAGCAAGAAATTCCTTTCCACACGCAGTATATTTAGTAAAATACTTTCTCATTGTTTCTTACCGGACACTGGAGATCACCCCTAATAAAGGATTATTGTACCTCTCCTACTGAAGAGTAATTGCTTGAACTACAAAGTTAGTATGTCACAGTTTTAAAAAAAAAGAAATCTATTAAACAGCTGTGATATACAGTACAGTATGTGAGCAAAGCAAATGCATTTCCCTGGAAATAAGTAACATGAAGTTTAATTGTTGTCAAAGACAATTCACATAGGGGTGTGCTGTTGTTGGGGAGAACTGTCATGGGGAATGAGCTGTTTTCAGGGATGAAGTGTCCTAGGGATGAACTGCTGCCAGGGAGAAATGCCACTGGGATGACTGGGAGAACTGCCATGTCAAGGCATTGTTGTCAAAGAGAACTGTCATAGGAAATGAACTATCATCAGGGGGAATTTTTCTGGGGATGGGCTTTAAGCCAAGAGAATCGCCATGCGCCCTTCAGCTGACTTGGTAGAAAAAAAAATACAGGGCTCCCGCATGGTTTAATCATCAAGGGTGCTTGATGGTATCTCAGTTTAGGCTTGGGTAAGAGGCAGTGCAGTAGGTTCAGACCTGGGGTGGACAAGAAGCTTTCTTGCCACATAACAGGGCCTTATGGAAACTGATGGGCACATACTCTATGACCTTGCAATGACGACAGTGACATACTGTATGTCCCTCCACTAATTCCGTAAAACCAGATTTCTGTTAAAAACAGGTGGGAGTGTGGTGCATGTACTGTACTATGTCTTATTATCTTCATGCAGTAGGGTGGTACTAGTGGTGAGCAGTTCTAAACTGGGTGGGTATGGGTCAGGAAAAAAAAATCTGTGCATTTATTGAAAACACAATAAAATCTTTAAATATGACCCAAGTAAAAAATTTGTCTGAGACTGGACATTACTACAAAAGCAAAAGAAGGGTGACAAACTGTATAATACTGTATGTTGCTTGACACATTGCCAACACTCCTGACCTCCAGGACCAAGATTGGACATTCCTACTGTAACTCACTAGGTTATAGCAAGTGTCATGCTATACAGTATGTACCATAAGCTCAATAACCAATGTGTCTCAAATACCTACATTAAGGCCCACATGAAAAAACAAACCTGACTGATCTGCCATTTGCCAATTTTACACCCAACACAATTGCAGTTTTCTTGTTCTACCCAGTCTGAAGCCACCACTGACCTGGAATTTACATTGCAGAATTGATCGATTCAAAAAAAAAAGATTTAGTTTAGTATTAACAGGAGTTCCTTACTCATTTTGACAATTAAGATACAATTACTTGTCACAATTATTACTGAGATACACTTATGTATATTGTTTATTCTTTTATGTAATATCAAGGAAAAAAGAAAAATTACAATTTGAGCATACAATCACAGGAGGGAGTTTTTGAAACAGCAAAGGACACTCTCC